TTTTTTCGCCAATGATGCCGCAATAATTACGTTTGGCTAAACTGCTGGACATTTTAAACCCCCCCCCACCAGCCCCCCCCTGCTGTGCTCTTGCCAGCTGCGAAGGCTTCCCCTCTGCAATAAGCATGGTAATTTAGCGGGGCATCTGAGGGTCTGCGTGCCAGATGGATCATTAACATTTATGCGCGCCGCTCCCCGATCGCAGAAGGGCGTCATTAAACTGTCCCCGCTAAAAGGGCTTTGTAGCTGCCCTGGGTGTTACTCAACTGGTTCAGGAATCTGCAAAGGGCGGCTTTAGGTACTGCCAACAAAAGTCGTTTTACACGACTGCTTTAGTGTTGTTGTTGTTCTTGTTTTGCCGTAGTGCTGTATCACTCTCTGCGATGTGTCTTGTGGGGTTGTACCGCGCATCGTTTGGGAGCATGTCCAATGTTTCGCTCCGTATGCTGGGGAGCTTCTTCAGTTCCTGAAGAGCAGAGCAAAATGTTGGACGCAATTTCGAACAACGCGCGGTGCACCATCCCCAAAACACACCGCAGTTCTGTGATCGTCTTACAACACGTGCAACCGGCGCGTTTTGGTAAATGGCCGTACGGTTACGTGTTTGCAACTGTGTTCACAATTCCGACCGTGTTCATTTAGGTTTGCGCACCGTTTCAGAACACCTTTTTTTGCTGTCCGTGAAGAATTGTAGACCAAGGTTAGGGTACGTGTACGGATGAGGGTCTCCCCACAGTATGTGGACAGGTCGGTGACTGTATGTGAAGGCGTGGAGCATAGATGTGAACAAAGAACTACAGTAAAACTCTGGATTTTCTTTAACTGCCCTCTGCTGTCTACAACATCCAATCACTATCCAGTTTCAAACCTGCTTGGCTTCCGATGTGTGATGAAATCGGGTGCATTACGGGTGATTTGGTCAGAGACAAGGCTTGTAGCTTAAATATTTACTCCTTTGTTCAGTAGTGGATTGACAAAGTACTATTGCATTGCAAATTGTGCTTATTGGGGTGATAGGCCACAGTTAATTGCTTCACAGCTTTACTGAGCACCGCACTTACTTGCCTGGAACGTTTTTCTTTTATTTTCCATGCAACTTTAAGTGAAGGGCGACCGACAGATTTAGACTGATATTGACTGGGCCTCCGGGTCGGTAAGTTGCTGAATGCTTCTAATTCAGCATGGGCTGAAGCTGGGAAATAATTAGGTGCCAATTGTGCATTGTATGTAGACGTGCTGAGGAAATGCAATTGTATTTTGAAGGTTACGAGTTCTCTATCATAAAAAACAAGAATGAGCAAACACAACACAACTTATGGCCTTTTTCTTCTTTGGTTCTTTCGGTAAAGTCACGTAGAATTAGAATAAAGTAATAAAATAAAACAATACAATTCTCACGACGTTTCGGCCACAACACAAGCGGCCTTCTTCAGGTGAAGGAACAAAAAACTGTCGGGACGACAGAGCTCCAATGAACGCTGCTAAGATTCGTAGCGTCTTTTAAGCTGGTTGAGAGAAGAGAGGCACCTTGACAAAGGGGTTAACATATCAAACAGGAGAATTTATCATTGAAATAGATGAGGAATTTAGCTTGTGACTGGTCACAGAAATAGCTATGTTAAAGTCAAAGCCTACACATCCACAGAGGCACCTAGTACAAATCAAACGGGAGAACTTAGCATTGAATAGCTGAGGGATTAGCTTGTGACTGTCGGGACGACAGAGCTCCAATGAACGCTGCTAAGATTCGTAGCGTCTTTTACGCTGGTTGAGAGAAGAGAGGCACCTTGACAAAGGGGTTAACATATCAAAAAGGAGAATTTATCATTGAAATAGCTGAGGGATTTAGCTTGTGACTGGTCACAAAAATAGCTATGTTAAAGTCAAAGCCTACACATCAACAGAGGCATTGGAGCTCTGTCGTCCCGACAGTATTTTGTTCCTTCATCTGAAGAAGGCCGCTTGTGTTGTGGCCGAAACGCCGTGATAATTTTATTGTTTTATTTTATTATTTTATTCTCATTCTACGTGACTTTACCGAAAGAACCAAAGAAGATGAATCCTTGCAGTCACGAAAGCTTTAAATCAAAATTCATGGCCTTTTGTCAATCTACTGCTGGATGATGGCTTCTCAATGCCATGCCGGTCACAGGGTTTGTTGAACCATAACTTCGCCATGATGGCCAATGTGAGTTGATGAGTCAAAACAGTCACGTGAAAATATGATATGGAAAATAAAATGATTCTCATTGAAGATGTAAAAACACCATAATATTCAAAGTAATGCCCTCTATGTGCTATGAAGAAGCACGTATGTCCCACCACGTGGCCTATGATATGTTGTTACGTTGAAGGCCACAGTGTTATTGACGAACATTTCGATTTAAAGCTTTCGTGACTGCAATGATTCATCTTCTTTGGTTCTTTCGGTAAAGTCACGTAGAATGAGAATAAAATAATAAATTGATAAAATAAAATAACACAATAATATTCTCACGACGTTTCGGCCACAACACAAGCGGCCATCATCAGGTGAAGGGAGCGAGACTGTCTGGTAGGACAGCGCTGGAGTGAGAGAGCCACGTTCAGATCACGGCTTTTAAGCTGTGTGAGAGGAACAAAGAGCCTTGGCGAAGGAATTAGCATAAAATTTAGCATTGAAAAGGCTGAATGATTAGCTTGTGACTGGTCACAGAAATAGCTATGTTAAAAGTTAAAGCATACACATCCGCAGAGGCACCCATTGTTAAAAGGAACCAGCATAGAATTTAGCATTGAAATAGCTAAATTAAGGCATTCGCTTGTAACTGCCACAGAAATAGTTACGTCGAAGTCAGAGCATACACATTCACCGAGGCACCTAGTACAAATCAAAACAGGAGAATTTAGCATTGAAATAACTAGGCGAATTTAGCATTGAAATAACTGGGTGATTTGCTGGTGACTGGTCACAGAAATGACTACACATCTGAGCTATTCACAGTACTATATAGTGAACCAATAAAAACTAAAATATAAATTACCTTCATGTTATCAATAAACTCTATATTCTCCAATCAGCTAAGCTACCAACCATAAGTCGTTATATATCACAATGCTATATGGCGAAAAAATGGGTGGATTCTTACCCTCAAATTTCCGTACCACGGATAGCTACGGGCCCCGTTCAGACGGACGAGTTCGTCCATGGTCGGAACAGAGGAGGGGGAGAGAGACAGCTGCGAAGCCCTAGTATACTCCATGTTGTAAACCATACCATTAACCGTGGTGTGAGAGGTATTAAGAGGCAATGCTGGCGAAAGAGCTGCGGTCTGAAGGTCATCGTAAAATTACAATTAATTAAGAACAGAAATGATTTAACACATCTTTCCAGTGGTTACTAAGCCTGAATCCATCTTCTCGGTTGAAATTGTCTCTGTGCTTGTATATGTGAATGGCCTCATGAACGAATCTCTCATGGTAGCCAGTTGGTTTGCAAAGAACCTCCGTCTTGGAGAAGTCAATGTCATGTGAGCCCACTGAATTGTAACAGTGATCTGCCACGGCCGAGGAGTTCGTCTTACCGTGTTTCAAGTCTGCTTTATGTTCGCGGATGCGGTCCGAGATATGTCTTTTGGTTTCTCCAATGTAGCTACTACCACAGAGGCACTTTAGTTTGTAAACGCCCGGGTACTGTATGTCTGGAAGAGCATCTTTTACAGATGGAACTAAATCACGGATTTTGTGTACTGTGTTGAATCGGACCTGGATCTTGTGTTTATTCAGGATTTTGGAGATCTTTTTAGTGACCCCTGCAATGTAGGGTAAGGTGATGGTTTTGAGTGGCTCCACAAGAGGATCCTTCTTCTTATTCTCAAAGAAGATTGACGAACATGTTGTGTGTTTCTTTATAATTCTGGGATCATAATCCAATAATAATATGGGCCACGCTCGAGAACTCCTGTACTGAGGTACTTATAACTATACACATTAAAAGCACCACGTGGATTGACAAAACGAACTCGAAATTATTTTCTTTCAAAACTGTACTTGTCCCCTGTCTTTAACAATAATCTTCATCCCACAGATGCTCGACTCCAGTCCGACTGGTTGTCCCTTGTGGAGGACTCCTTTGTGCTCAAGGCCCCCCCTACGATGGAACTCGTTGACCCAAGAAAATCAGTGGCTCAGAATGCATCAATGTTTTTTAAAAATCAGGTCATGAGACTCGATTTTTGAAATGACACCTTCTTAATCGGTATTAAGTGTATAGTATTTATTTACAGCATAACTCTTGTATTAGTTTAACACGTAGGCTTTCGCGACCAGTATCATCCGTAATACGGGTTTTTTGGGGCTAGATCGCGTAAACATATAAACTCCTGTGTTAGTTGACGGATCCCATTATCTGTACCTGTCTGAGAAAATATTTCCTCGTATCTGTTCACAAATGTGGATAAGAGGGTTCGTTGTCTGCACCCCTCTTATCCGTGTAAAAAAGACGGATATTAAGATGAATGCATTAATTATAGATTTGAAGCTTTCGTGACTGCAAGGATTCACACTCTTTGGGTTTTTTCGGTAAAGTCACGGAGGTAAAAAATAAAATAAAAATAAATTTAGTTGTTATCATTTATTTTAATTTTATATATATTTTTTTTACCTACGTGACTTTACCGAAACAAACCGAAGAGTATGAATGCGTTAGTACTGGACACCACTTCTGAGTGATTAATTACGATCAATGTCCCGTCAAATAAGCACGTCTCCTTTTTGTTTTCCGTGAAAATATACTATTAGGATGAATCTGGTGGATAATAGGAGTTGTGGATAATAGGGCCGTGGGTCCCCAGTTTAACCTAGCAGGTTTTCCCTTCCTAAACGCTTAGTTTAACAATTGCAGCCTGTTCTTTCGGTAAAGTCACGTTGAAAGGAAACAATAAAATAATTAAAAAAAAACATATAAAACAATACATTTCTCACATATATTTTATTATTTTATTGTTTCCCTTCAATGCGACTTTACCGAAAGAACCAAGAATATGAATCACTGCAGTCACGAAAGCTTTAAATCAAAATTTAATTGCGGCCTGATTTGTACGTTTGTGATTATTGTTAAATGACCCCCGGGGACTTATTAAAGTCGCTAAATGCAACGTAATGTATTGTTGCATTGTAGTTGTAACTGCTGGAACTCGCTGTTAAACCCACCAAAAGCACGTGTCGCTGTGTCGAGAGTACTGTAGCAGTGTCTTTAATAGTGAAGTGTCAAGTGATGTTGCCATGGTGACTCTGTCAGTTGCCCCGCGATGTGTCGCTCTATCTCCACAGGGGGGGGTCTTTTAATTCCACCTTCAGTAATAATTACCCGCGTTGCATAGAAACACCGCCTCGCCAGAGGCGGCGGCGGTGCTTTTTAGCCGCCTGCTTTGTTCTTGATGCGGAATTTTGTTATTTTATTGCGATTTTAAATTGCGAATAAGCGTGAAGAGGATACAGGCGGGAGTTGGATTTTGTGTTTTGCTATTTGCAGAACTGGGCAGCCGAAGCCTTGTATAAACGAAGCAGGCGGCCCTGACAAGAACGACTGGGTGAGTATCTGAGGAGATTCATTGGCAGTTTTATGTTTTTATTCGTTTATTTTGTGTTAATATTGGCGGGAGCTTCGTGTGAATGTTAAGCCGCGGCACCGCTGCTTCGAGCGAGCGTGCGGGGTGGGCTGTGTTGTCCACGTGACCGTAGATCGGACATCTGATTGGCTGTATCATTTCCGCCTACGTATGACTTATGATAATGATGGAGTCGCTTACAGTTGAAGTAATGCATTTAGTTTTAAGTTACTGGTGACTTTTAATAACATTTATAAACCATAGACTATAATTATAAATACAGCATGTCTACATGTATTTGTTTATACGTATATGAATATTGCATTTAAGCATTAGCTAAATAAAGGGTGCCCATAGCGAAGAGCACTCCCGTACATGGGTGGTATAAATAGTCTGCTGTGCATACCGTAAGGTTTGTGTTGTATGAAAGGAGAGAAGGTTAGCACTCCCCTTGATAAGGACGGAAGAGACCCTTGTGGTCTTTACAACACATATGGTTAAGGCATTGCCACCTACTTCGTGGCATCTAACCATGTTTTTTTCGTGATACTTTATCGTAACTACGCCTCATCTCACTAACATTAAATGACGCCGCTCTTGGCGAAAGGGCCTGCACTTGAGGGAGACCGAGAGGTTTTTTTTATTCTATTTTAGCCTACTTCTCCACACGCTCGTCTGGGGTCGCGTCACACCATACGCGATCGTGGTCAAATTTTCGATAAAAAAGAGGCGGAGAAATATGCCCAACATTGCCACTTCCCTAACGGGAGGTCATGTTAAACCGATGACCTCTGGACTAATTCCAGTGTGCTAACCATTACGTAGTTAAACCACGATTAACTGGAATTTTACATTAAGTAAACACCACGAACAATACTAAAACGAATAAAACAACCCAGGAATACACTTGGTCATCATCATCGTCAATGTTATCAACCAAACCCACAAATTTTGAAACGACCTTCAAAATATAAAATAGCAATTATGTTATTATGTATCTACAGAATCCCATATCGTCCCGGTGTAAGAGATAATGAATCTCAGAGGGCCATCTCCGGGGTTGAGTTATAGGCCTTGAGTTGACATTGATTGATGAGGCTACCACCTGTGTGAGAATGAGATGCCAATCTCACGACCCGTGGGCATTTAGCGTCCCCTGTTGTCGTCAACGTGCCCTCCCTCCGCAGCTTTCCAAAAATAAGACTTGCCTCAAAGGGCTTTGACCTGCTTGTAAAGGGCTCTCACCTCTTTGTCATCAGCCTCGGCTATGATCAAATCCATTGCCGGACAAAGACCTTCCCAAGCCATCTCTCGTGGTCTTCGGTAGTCTTCCCAGTGTGACAATCCGCCCAGCGCTTGCATACGCCAAAGTGATGTCCTGCTCAAGTGTGCATTAAGGCGGCGCTAATTTGTTTTTCAGCCCAGATGTAACGGTGGAAATTACATATTCCTATGACGAGTGACGAGTATATCCATAGCACAACCACTGTTTGTGCTTACCCACCAAGTGGTATTAATTGTATCGGCCCCGGAGGGATATGAACTGGCAACCTTACAATTGCGACCCGTTCGCTCTGCCGCTGAGCCAACGAGGCAGGTAAACTACACACGCGCTTTACAACAGAAAACCCGGCTTGTGAGTTGATGAACGGACGGGTCACATGTCATTGTTATGACGGCGGGTTTTATTGTTGTTTCGGCTCAGTTCTGTGTCTATAAGGGGGGAATTAAAGTGAATCTTGCGATAAAAAAAAACAAGAGCTAACTCGGGATGACAGCGATCCCTTTGTCCCCACTGCATTAGGCTCCAAGCCGGGGGGAGCTCAGGATGGAGAGAGCGAGGGGAAGGAACAGAATTCTCATCTCGTGCCCCGGCTCCCAGCTTGGCAAGATCGTGACTGTGCAAGATGGTCCGCTGGGCGGCGAGAGCGCTGACGCGTGGGCCAGCCTCCTGGGCCCCGGGCGTCACGCCGCCTGCAAGCACTCCCCACAGCTGATCGCCGCTCTGAGCCGGGTCCTGGCGGGGAAGCCGCCCACGGCCGTCCTGCAGGCCCAGCCGCCGGTGCGCGGTAGAGAATACTCGTCCCGGAGGCCTCGCGATGCAGTCACCGCCAAGTCCAGTGGGTTTTTCTGTTTACTTGGTATCGTGTAAAGGATAAGGATTTGCAGTATGCAGGGGGCTTGCTTGAATGCCACGGCAACTCACATCTCATCTCAACCAATTACAGCATCCTGCTGCGATCTCGCCAAGGGTACCCCCAGTGGCAGCTGACCCAGTGCGGCACGAGGTGTACGCAGCACCGCATTGCGAGCGGCAATTAATCTGCCAGTATGGGGCAATGTCCCAGTGTTAACCGCTGGGCTTGAACCGTGAAATCTGCAACAAGCGGCAAACGCGCTACCACACATGCAATGCGATGTGTATATTGATTCAGAAGCCAATATATATATACGTGTACTGCACTTGTATTAATTTACTGCTGAATGAGAGGTTGGAGAGTGCATGGCGGGAAGCAGAGTGCAATGGGACGAGAGAGGCAGGTATTTACGATTTTAAAGACGGTGAGTGTGGTCTTGAATTCGATGCAGGGTTAGATTTGGGAGCGAGTGGAGCGATTGGCGTATCGGCGTGATGTGTTCGCATTTACGGATACCGGTGTGAAGTCTGGCAGTGGCATGTCGCATCACCTGGAGATTGTGGATTGGGATTTGTTGAAGCTGTAGAGGAGAGAGCGTTCGACACGTGTCGTCTCCCCGTATAGAGCAGCCCCGCTTGGGCCACGGTGAGAAGATCAGCGGCTGGTGCGACAAAGTCGACCTCGGTGCCCTCTCTATGCAGACAGGCCCTGAGCAGGCATTAGAAGCCGTTCCCAGCGGCGCTGATGATGGGTGAGACGTCCGCATGGATTCACGTACACACCACCCACAGATGTGAATGCGTTGTCGCTATGTACGTGTGGACGTTACACGGTAAACCAGCCGTGCAGAATTAACTTAGATGACCACGCATACATTTTCTCAGGCGCCCCGCAGATTTTTTTTTTCCAATCACCGCTGTGGGGATTCAACTCCTGGAGATACCTGCAGTGGTTTTGCGTGATAAAGGAAGAAATGCTCAACACACAGCTCAACCTGGAGAACAAAAAATAATAATTGTGCTTTATTGGTGGAAATGCTGAGGCCAGTGTTTCATCCACGTGCTTTGGATTCAGATGTCTGCAGTGTAAATGCACCACTCTAATTTTCGAAACTGTAATGAAATATTCAAATTCCGTGTTCACTTCGCAGTAGGACATAATCATGATATTGGGACATTCCATTTTGTTGGCTTTGTGTTTGTACGGCCCCTTTGTCAATCCGCCGCTGAATGAGGGCCTCTCCATGCCGTGCGGGTCGTGGTGATTATGGGGGCATATATTACCACGCTCGACGAGGCTGATCAGTGCGAGTTGAGCATGGTTGGGAGCACACACACGTTCGGACATTGAAGCACAGAACAACAGCGTATTTTTAAACGTGCTCGATTGTCTTGCTGCACTGCCCTCTGCTGACCAGAAAGTCGCCGCACATTACCTGTTTGGAGTGGTTGCCCATCCAAACACGATCCCAGGCTGAATCTGCTCATCGTCTGAGATCAGATCCGACGAGATTGAGTGGATCCCGGGTGATTCGGAACAACATTGGCCACTGGTCATGCAGAGTTAAAGGTGCAGCTCTGCCATGGCTTGCTCACACGCCACAATGCTGGTTAAGGGGCCCTTTGGAGGTCTAACTTTGGCCTTACTATTCCATCCTGGCCAGACCTTTTGGAAGAGATGAAGATACACACACATACCTTACCCCATCACACGCGACACACAGATAAATTAAAGGGCATAAAATAAAGTATATAAATATATACTCGTGCCAGTAAGCAACACGGGCGAGATTTGTTGTCGTTGAGACAGATGTGACCCAGCAGCCTGCACACGCTGAGACCGGCTTTGGTCTTCTGGGTCTCATCAGCAGTCAGGTTTGTTCATCAATGCTGCTGGGTTGTCAGATGTTTTTACCAAAAGAAACATGTTCAACGCAAAAAAGCAATACTGTACACAAACTCGTGACACGTTTATGTCATGCATGATCGGTAATCAATTATATAAACATTCTTATTTTTGTGAAAGTCAGCAAAGCTAATAGCCGATAACTAAAATATGTAAATTTACGTGTGGAAACACATAAAGGAGGTCTGTTTGCAAATACTGATAACATTCTGTGTCTACTAATGGATGTTTACAGTGTGTCTGAATATAATTAGAAGTGTGAGGTTGTTTTGTTTTTGTTAGCTGATTACTATTTTAATTGCAGTGTTTACAATTTTCTCTGATTGGCGAACATGAAATGTAATTCCCGAGTGAGGCTTTCCTTTCTTTCAATCAACCTCCACCAACGATCACTTAAGCGGCAATGATCTGAAAAGTAATCTGCCACAGATTGCCTCGCCTCTTGAACGATATGCCCATCTCCTGTTTCCACAATGCACATTGCCCCCACTATGTCGTACGGTTTCTTGAGATGCGGCTGCTATGCTGCATACATTCATATTGTAAATTGCATTGCGTCTATACGAGCGTTTTGTGACTATACATGTGCAAGCGTACAGCCCATTTGGTCAATCCACTGCTGGATGAGGGCCTCCAGGGGGATGGTAAACCGATCAAACTTAACCACGCTGCTCCGTGCGGACTGGTGATAGTTGTGCACATAGAAGTATTGTACAACATCGGATTTTGCTACACTGCCCACCACGTCGCCAAAAGGCTCTAAAAATCCATATTGTATTGTAAATTGTATTTTATCTGCATATTGTGACGTTATATATAAGGCCATGCAAAACTATTCTCAAAATCGCTCGTGATTTTTTCTCCCAATTTTCCACGGGCAAATCCACACTGCTTCTCCTCAGTGTTCCTGTCGCAAGGCGGCGAGAGTGGGAATCGAAGCCGGTGGCCTGGGATGGGCCCGTCATTTACCTCCCGTCCACCGCCCCGCAGCAACACCGCAATCTCGGTGCCACCGGCACGTGGCAGCCTGGGGACACGGACGGGCGGGACGAGGAAGGGCAACGGGATGAGCAGTGGGACGCGTCGGAGGAGGAGCAGCAGCAGCAGGAGGGAGAGTGGAAGGAGGTTGTGGAGGTCACACATGATTAAATGATGAGCAGTAATGGTGTTTGTATTTTGGGGGGTTCTGTGGATCACAGACACCTGCAAGACGCACGCCACGGCAGGGCTGTCGATTCAACTTTGTCTTGTAAAGTTTTCACGGACGACAATAAAATAAACACATCTCTGCATAAATTTAACACGTGTTGGCTCTGGCGCATATATTTTTTGGTGCGTCTTGATCTGGATAATACGGTAATATTAATTATGCAAAAGTCGTTTTTTTCGTTCTAAGTATTTAATCTGACCATACTCCCACCCATCCATCCATCACCCCACTCATCCGCTATGCGATCCATTAACTTGGCCATCAATGCATGCCCTCATTCATCCCTCGCTTATTTACTCCACGGAGCAGGGTATAGCAGTGCTCGGCAGTGTGCTGGCACGTTCATCCCAGATACAACCAGAGTTTACTCATGCGGCCGCAACGATGTCACGAAGTGGCCTCCTCCCCTCGTGAGGATGTTTCGTAGGATGTTCAGATTTCGTGCGTAGAGTACAAGGTCTTGTACATATCCGAATCAATTGGGAGCGAGGTGTAGGTGGATACGTGTTCAGGTCGAACGTGTTCACAAATACTGCACCAAGAAATGGGCAGTTAATTGGTGCAGGGCGGATATACGTGACGGTCGGATTTGGAATGTATTGTACACTGCTGGCGACATCGCTTGGCGTCCTTTCAGCATGACCGTGCACATCGGAGTGCCTTTTTCCACTGAGTTGAGAATGACTGCTCTGCTGATGAGACCCATAACATCGACACTGGTCCAGAATTTACTCGCTTTAACAAATGCTGCTTGATTCATGATATTGGTCTGAAAGGCCGACAGGCTGACTGGACTGTATTTGTAGACAGAGAACAGAGTTCTGCGTTTGCTCTATTTTATGTATCTAAATTTTTTATTTTACGTACGTATTTTACATAGAGGGAAGAGACCGTGAGCCCACACTACCACGACCAGCGGCGAGCGGCTATCCACGTTGCTTCCTCGCCCACACACGACGCCGTAACCTTGCGATACGATCGCTGTACACCCATTGAATTGGAATCTCTGCCTTTGTCTTCTTAATGCGAGCATATGGGTGCAGTCATTACCGCGGGCTCTTCTTGGCACGCTGCGCTCCGACGGCATCGCCCGAATCGTGTTCACGACGTTTAGCTGCCTGCCAGCTGCGGACGCACGCGATGGCTTTATGTGGGTTAAGTACAGGACTCGTATCTAAAGTCTATACAAAATAATGAACGGTTTAAAACGTCGGTGGCTCTGTTCCACCGGTTCAGGCTGGGCTGTAGGGATCGAGGGGGAGGGGCCGTGGGGGATAGTTTACGCGTAACATAACTGTGACACAGACAAGGGTCCGTTTCACTAAATAACAATATAATATCGTGTCCTTCTGGATCAATGTTATGTATCCATTCCCTTTAACTCACAGTTCACCCATGCTCACTGCTTTAAGTGAGTATTGGTGGCCATACCGTGCTGATGAATTCTAATAATAATGAAAACCGGTGCACAGTGATCTCTTCAGCTCTGTACCGCTCCCGCCTGTCAGTCGGCGACATTTGCTCAATGCGTCCCATCCCGTCTCGGAAGCTCAGCAGGATTGCGCTTGGATCGTGCTTGGATGGGTGACCACCACGTCCTGCCGCCAGGTTGTCACAGGCCAGCTGCGTGGACCGTGCCACGCGGTGGGCAGCAGAGGGCAGTGCAGAAACAACCAATTGTTGCATCGTATTTCTATGCTCCCACATCTATGTTCCAACGCACACTTAGCAACGGCTGCAGCAGCAGCAGTATGCCAGAACGTTCAGCTTGCCAGTCTAGCACGCTCTCAACGCATGCTTGTGCCTCTAGACACAATGCTTACATCTGCTAATGGCCGTGGACGTATGTGGCGTGTCGACCCCGGTGGCTCGTTCCATCAAGGCTCGCTCTGCACGTATGGCCAGACGGGGCTGCATGAGTCATACACGCGGCACAGCAAAGGCAAGCATCTCCCGTGTAGCTCGCGCAGGCGACCGGGGCAAGTGCTGTTTGTGACGGCAGTTTTATCACGCACGCCGCACGAGCGGGTGATGTGGTCAGAACGGTGCACGCCCGGTCACCTTTGTCTCCCCGGTGCCGATGTTTAGACAAAACGCAATAATAGTTTTGATTTAAAGCTTTCGTGACTGCAGTAATTCATATTCTTAGTTTTTTCGGTAAAGTCACGTTGAAGGGAAACTAAGATTATGCAATAATAGTTATTCATATAAGGCTGAGAAGACCTCAGGAATGCCCAAGACCGTCGTGGTCTGGAATCGAACTCGGGTGGGTGGGTTCGGAGCGCAGTGCACTAATCACTGCGACAGCGCTCCCTTAACGGTGAACGTTCGCACACACACACAGACACAAATGTGTTGTCTGTGGGTGTGTGTGTATATATATTGTCATGTGGGGAGCGGTGGTGTCGCGGTCAGCGCTACGCTGCGCTACAAATCCAGCGACCCGAGCTCGATTCTCGCTCACGACCAACACCAGTGAGGATTATCTGAACCGGTCCTGAGCCACCCGTGGTCGACTCAGCCTCAAATCAGTGTAAACATCGCCACTGGGGAAACAAAGGCGGTCGGGCCTGATGTTGGCCACCAACCCCCTTGTGTGCCGTGCCGGATATCATATGTGCTCGCTAACATCACTTGCCCCAAAAGTCTGTCCAGGCTATACGGGGGGGTCTTTGTCTTTGTATATTGTAATCCGCCTCGGCTCCACGATGTCGGACGTTGCGCTCCACCTGCTGGGAGCTTCTTCGGCAGCCAAATTCTGGCCCATTTCGGTTGCCGGTTCGAGCGAGCACGCGCGGAAGAGACTCGCTGGCCACATTGCCGGACGCGGCGCGGCACAGACAAGCCGAGAGCGCAGCGGAGACAGAAACCTGCCGCAGATTGCTGGTGGCGGTGCTGCGTGGCTTTGAGCCGACGTGAGTGACCCCCCCCATCACTGACACCAGACAATCACCAATGGCAAACGACCAGCAGTGGCGAGGCAAGGAAGGCGACTGGCCGCCAGGCAGTGGCCACCGCCTGCTCATTAACCGCTCCATGCAGATGGGGGCCAATTGAAGCGGCGCGCTCTCTGGGATCAATTCTCCATGCCCTCCGCGTGACAAATTAAGTGTTGGCATACTGCCGCCCTGCCTCCTTCAAGCCACACTGGCACGTTTTTGTTGTTGTATCTTCCCCCCCTCCCACCCCAATTGTACCCCGATGTGGCTATAATTCCCCATCTCTCACAAAAGCAGTACGGCCCTTCTTCGTGTTGGAGACTGCTCCGTAGGAGTTTAAATCAAGATCGCATTGGCGCAGCATCACGCAGCACGAGGAGCCACCAAAACAACGCTGGAGGGCCGTGGTGGTGGCCCTGCTGCGTGGACTGTGCGTTTAACTTCTTTCCCACCGTACGTAGCCAACCGTGCTGATCGGAGGTGCTGGCCCAATTATGGGGTGGGGGGGCTCGAAGCAGAAATTCTGTTTGAGGGTCTCCCATGGGCGTAGTTTGGCCGGGGGGGGCACAGAGGGTCGTTGCCCCCCTGTGCCACCCCCCCCCCAAACTGGACACCTTTATCAATTTGCACCCGAGAGTCCTGATGTGAGGGACAAAGCGACCCCCTCCCGCCCCCAAATATAGAAGTAAAACTCCGCCTATGGGGTCTCTCCCAGCCCCCGTTTCAATTTACAATCATTCCGACTGAGCCGAGAGAAGATAACGAGACGAGAGACAGAGATGTGGCGAGACCCCGGGACATGTGGACAAAGCGTAGAGAGACGAGAAATTAGAGATGAAGCGGAGGGGAATGAGAGAGACAGACAAAGGGATCCGAATCCATTCGGAGCTCGAGATGAGAAACAGAGGGGGTGGAGTTAGGGGCGGGATTTCCTCGTTGTGTTTAGCGCGATCTGAATGCGGGCTGATATTTGGTGCATCCGTATACAGTATACAGCACATACATGTTAAAGTAATGTGGGATCCCCTTGAACCGCTTGGGACCCCGATGCCTTTGCTTGGTTCAGAGTAATATCTGATGCAGCTCACTCACTGCGCCCTGCGCGTGCGTGACTGCAGCTCCGTCCGGTGCTGTGCGCGAGACCCCTCTGACATTTTGTGCGAGTCGATGACTCACCGTCCTCCCTACCCACCCTCACGTTTTATACGTATTTATTTATTCTCTCATTTTATTTCGTGCATTTATATATTTCCTTTTGTTAATCACAGGGGCTCCACTCAGGTGCACGTGCACTGTGGCCTGATAAGGGCTGGCCTTTCCCCCACATGATTTTATAAATGTCACAATTTGTTTCGGTTTTTTTACTCCCCCCCCCCCCCAAATGGCCTTTGTTGGATGCTGAGCTACGGAGTGCCACACTCGAGATTTTCGTACCTGTGTAGCCCTTTTTGACATTCCACTGCTGGATGAGGGTCAAAGTAAAATGTTGAACCATACTTCACCACGCTGCCCATTGCGGGTTGGGGAAGCCATAGACCTAATTAGTAGTGCGGGGAGAATGGTGACAACGATGGATAAGCGTCTCGTTTGCAGGCCGTATCGATGTGGTAGGTCTCACGTGGCTGTGGGGCCGTGTGGCATGAAGTCGCGGGTCGCACACGGCCCGTGGGATGTAAATACCCCACTCCGGCTACAAGCGTGGCCAATACATTGAGCTCCAAGCTGTTTGAGCTTCATTGCCAGGTGCAGCCAATTTCTGGTAATTTCCAAAGACAGGGTGTAGAAAGCAGTGCACCTAATTATGCGTTTATGACTCAATTAGTTTTGTGCAGGCTCCACTCAGACGCCCACGGCAACGTGGAAAGACTGGAAGGGATCCCGGCTCTGGAAGCGAGCCTTCTCGAAAGTGGGCTTATTCACGGGACAATTGGGCCCCTCTCAGATTACATTTTTACTTCCCTCAATTCTTATTCCTGGTCCCCGGCTCGTCACATCCGACAATCTTCGTCGTTTTCGAGGGGGGGGGGACAAATTGGGCAAAATGCGTGCGTCCGTGGGAAGAGTGGGTGTTTTGGTCATCGTTATCATCATCATCTGCAGCGATCGATCCACTGCTGGAAGAAGGCCTCCTCCCCAACACGCCGCCGTAGCCACCTGTCACGTAAGTCGGTGTCGCCGAGTGCGACTTTTGCTCAACACAATCAGTGACGGGAGTTATTCGTCAACGAATACGTTTTTATATATATAAAGTCAAGGACTTAACTATGAATGTGGATGAAGATTTAGGCTCGCATCGTCTAGAGGCGTCATCAGAGTATGCAGTTCACTGAGGCAGAACAGAGACACGTTAAATGTCTAATATAGAAGTGCCTAATATATTAGTGCATTATATAAACGGCATTACCAAGTATACCGATTGGCTGAGAGGATAATTTGGGGGGGTGGAGGGCGGGGGTAGGCGCGTGAGGGTTCGGGGGCGAATGAACAACTCGAGAGCGAACTCAATGTTGGGCTGATTTAGTCCACTCGGAGGATGAGGAAGACTGCACTCCTCACGCTCTCTCGACGAGACGAAGGCCAGAGTAACGCTGCAGTCAGTGGAAGCAGGAACTCTGAAGGCCAGAACACTGCAGAGTTTGTAAAACAACAACAATTAGTCTTAACACGGCCAAGTTTATCTCCCTCTCGCTCCTGAGGCTTAGTCACAGAATCCGCGTCATTCGCCAAGTACTAAAATAGCAGCGCCGCTTACTACGCAATTACGTCAAAGCACAAAGCACCCACAGGGCCCGATCGGCGTGCACGTCATCGTCATCACGACATATCCACGGCTAGATAACCCCCCCCCCCCCCCCCCGCTCGAAGCTGTTGCCATCATCCCTCAGTGCTGCGATATAAAGATCACCGAGCACCCTGCCTGCACGCGAGCGGATTTCATCGTTCCATCTCTTCGGTGGGCGACCTCTTTGCCGATTTTCAATCCTCTGCTGCCACTCGCTCACTATTCTTGACCACCATCATCACTTCCAACGACGTCTCCTGCCCACTCACTTTTCCTAACAATTAGCTTCATGTCTCCAATCATCGAGGTGTTTGGGTTAGATCGCGTGCATATAAATGAGTTGTTAAACCCGCCAACACCCGACACAGCCAATTGTTAAGGTTTGTCACGTAAACAAAAATGACGATTAGTTACGAGTTCAGCACACGGGTGTGTTGGAGAGTAAACCCACAACATTTACAATTCGAGTACGACGTTGCGCGCGTGTCCTCCAATGCACGTGCTCCTCTCTCCGTCTCTTGATGTGACTCCGAGCAAGCCTGCGTCTCCAATCGTCTCGGCGCGTACTTCTGTCTCGCACGTGTCGGTGCGTTGATGAATATTTTTGCCATCGCGTGTTTAATGACCGCGTTTTTGAGCGACGTCATCCAGCGAGGACCAAATATAACTTTGCCGCTCGCGCAAATTGAGCCGAGGCACCCATCAGGATAGAGCTGCGCGTTATCGGAATGTGGTGTTAATTAGGACAATGCATTAGTGGCGTTGGCGCTCGCTTAACCCGTGTTACAACAGCTGAACAATTCGCGGGGAGATGAATAACAATGCGCAGCGTTTTTCCGAGGAGGACGACTGCATCAACAAGTTTACGGTCCAGGAAAAACCAGGCCAGGTGGCAACGCTGGCTGAGATTGGAAGGATATTTGCCGGGAGAGGTGACTTGACCTCCAGTCTCTCTTGCTCAGGACCTTCCAGGACTAAACCGTGGATAAATCATATCGATTGGGATCGATCGTGAATGGTCTCCGAGGCATCTTCGGTCACGATAATTGCGAGCGCCTGAAGCGCGTAATGCTGCGAAAAGGTTACAATGATCAGTCCAAACAAGCCTACCCGCCGATACGCCACCGTCATCATCATCATCATCGTCACCATCATGATCATCATTAAACGTTACTCAGTCATGTATTATTGATGAATACATTATAATCAATTATACGATAATCAGTCATCCATCATCAGTCATAATCAGCCGTCATCATCATCTCATATCATCGTCGTCACAATCACTCCTCTACATTCATACATTCACCGTCCATCCATTGAATATTAGCCGTCCGTCAGTATCACTGTCATCATTTCCGCTGCGTTCATCCGCTTATAACAACACTTCGTGAAGTATGCATCGTCGAATAACTCCCCCCCCCCCCCCATCATATCGTACGACAGCGCGAAGAGGCCCTCGTCCAGCAGTGGATTGACAAGGATCGCAATGCGTGCGCATGAGTCGCCTCATTAAAAGGGAACTAAAACAAGCCGTACAATAACTCGCGACCCCGGATTCTGGAGCACATACGACACTTGCACCATCGCAGGCACTCCTGTTGTGGATTTACTCTCCAACACATCGGTGGGCTGAAGTAGTAACTAATTGGCGCGTTGTTGTTTACGTGACCAACCTTACTGGCTGTGTCGGGTGGTGGAGAGTTATGACTCATTTATACTCACGGGATCTAACACAACAACCTTTATTATGAATAATATTGGTCGCGAAAGCCTGCTACGTCTTGACTTAAAGCTTTCGTGACTGCAGGAATTAATATTCTTTGGGTCTTTCGGTAAAGTCACGTCGATAGGTTCAAATTAATTGTTTGTTTATGTATTTTTTTTTAGTAATTTGAACCTATCCACGTGACTTTACCGAAAGACCCAAAGAATATGAAAGCCTGCTCCGTGTTAAACTGACCCCTCCTCCTACTCGCCCGTCCGTCCTCCCCTCGGTGTTCGCGTCGCCTGCTACGCGTGGGTGGCACGTGGAGGCGGATTGAATCCTGCTTACTGGACTCGCTCTGCACGGTAATAGCAGTGGGTCTCTGTGTCACTGTGGGCCCACATCCGCCAATCAGACAGCAGCAGAAGCAACAGCCAGCCTCGCTCGTCAATCAATGCTGGGGCTGTGAGTCACTCGCACAATATGGCCGCGTCGATGTGAAATTAGGCTTTATGCCAAACACGCGTTGCATGTAAGAATAATAATGCCGAATGTTTACCCAGGAAAATCTCAATAATATATATTTTTATCAGGAGGGTCCTGCTGCCATTGGGATAGTATGCTGGCAATTTCCATATTTGGTACGAGGAATGTGGGAGGAAATTGGAGAAAACACTTCTTGAAACCCACATCCACAATGCAAGTCACATCATCCACTCACTTACCTCTCCACTCACCACACTGCAGGTCACAACAACCATTCACTCACCACACTGCAGGTCACATCACCCACTCACTCACCCACCACACATCCATACTGGAAGTCACATTAGCCACTCACTCACCAAACTACAGGTCACATCACCCGCTCACTCACCCACTCACTCCTCACTACACCGAAGGTCACAATGCTTCTATTTCTGCTTCTCCCCTCGCACAGCTCACCTTTGGAATTCCCTCGCATCCACGTCTCTTTTCTCAGGTTCGTATAACCTTACTCCGTTCAAGAAGCCTATTCACTCTCATATTGTGCAACGTTAAAGTGCTGTTCGTTGCTGACTGCTTGGCGTTTTTGAGCCTGTGTTCAGCAACAGCTGACGACTATCTGATCCAGTCCTTGGTTCCCCCCTAGATCGACTCGGTCTCAAACGAGTACCTGGTACGGTGTGTAAAAACATCGCCACTGGGGAGACAAAGGCAGCCAGGCGTGGTAATTGCTGGCCACCGACCCCCTCATGTTGCCGCGTCGGCCTTCATAGGTGCTCGCTAACAGCACTTGCCCCAACAGTCTGTTAAGGCTACACGGGGGATCTTTATCATCTTTGTCTTGCGTGCTTAGCTGCATTAGGATGCAGCGCGTCGGTTCGGCGAGACTTCATCGGGGCTGGCGGAGCTCTGAGCGCCCCCTGCTCGCGTACTCGCTACGTCACTGTGGCGTCAATGAGGAGCGAGGCGACACGGATTATTTAAAGCGCCTTGTGCCTTCGCGGGCGAGTGCGAGCGCCTGTGCGAGTGTATGTGTGTGTGTGCGCAGCCTTGCATGGCCGGTAGCCGCACAGTCACATCTGCTTCGTTCTCTCTCGCTTGTGCTCAATCCACGGTGTAGCTTGCATCGCCCTGTAATTTCAATGCAGCGCTCTTGGTAATTACATCTGTCAATCCAGCAGCTTTTGTTGATTTATGACGGACTCTCCTGGTGAGACCCAGATTTGTCGAAACCAGGTCCAGAGTTTTGGTTGCTTACATAAGTGCTTTCTAGAGAATATCGGTCTGGAAAGTCACTACATAGGCTGATAAGACGTAGTTATTTATTCCCGCGGGGAGACAGAACGAAGGTGTGCGCTTATGTGTTGTGTAGAGAGATGAGAGGCTACTCCGTGCTGAGAGGCTCCTCCGTGCTGTCGCTGGGGCTGCTGCTGCAGGTGCTGACGGTGCGACGGATTTCAGCACCTCGGACAGCGCTGTGAGCAGGCAAGGAGACACTCCCGCACGTCTCCCCACCATCATCACCACCACCATCACTACCACCATCACTACCACCATCATCACCATCGCCCCGGTGGGGTGGCTGTTGTTGACGTGGCGTTCATTCTGTTCGTAACTTTTCCACGGATTTAGGGGCATCTGATGTTAAACGTTTGAGAGCCCTTCCACCACCATGTGTACTAAACCCACTATCACCCCCTCCTCCCCCAGACTACCAACAGCGTCTAGAAATGCGATCCCATTGGGATCCGTGAAACCCACAGAGTGTAAAGTAATTTAAAGAAGCTGCCGTGGTTTAATGGTTAGTGCGCTACACTTACAATCTGGAGGTCGCCGCTTACATTTGATCTAACCCAAGTGGTCAAGTTTATTAAATTTCTCCACGTCAGTCCACACAGCAGTATGAGTCCTGTGCAGAAGTTAGTCGATCGGTACGTCGCGTGCGGTGGCGAAATGTGTGGGTATCCCCGCCTCTCCCAAGGCGTCTTCTGTCCAGCGTGGAAGAGTTAAAATAAAATACCGTGAAAGCGCCCTCTAGCTTAGGCCCTTCCGCCAGCAGGGGTGTCAGCGAATAATTGCAGGGCTACACCTTGAACGCGCTTAGCTCCTTTACAAGCGGGGAGAGAGTTGCACAAGCCTCGTTACGAACGAATGTGTACTTTGTAGGTTCACGGGAATAATTTCGTAACGTGTACTTCTTCACTCGAGCGAGCCAATTATATACACACACCCCGGGGAAGTGCAACGTGCGGCAGAGAGGCACGCTCTGCCAATGTCCCCGGCGACATCGCGCCTCGCGCGAAGTAAACCAGCGAGGCGCAGACCCATGACCAATGTAGCCGTCGGGCGATTCCTTACTGCCAATACGCGGTGACGATGCGGGGTCTGAACTGCGCGGTGCTCGTTCGGGTGACGAGAAGTGCCTCTCCGCGACAGCGGCGGAGTACTCGCGCCGACAGTGACGCGAGTTGAAGACGTGGTTAATTACAGCGGTGATATTTGTTGTTGTTGTTGTTGAATGACCACATCGTGGACTGAGGGTGTTTTAACGTTTCTTCTTGAGCTGCGGTGGTCCAGGAACATGGATGACATGGAGTTATGCCGGTACGCAGGGAACCACGCGATTTCGTTTTGTGCAATTCCTGCATTGCTCTGTTGTCAGAGCGTGCGGAAAACACCCCATTGGAGTAGAAAATACGGTGGAAGGGGTTATGTGGAGAGCTTGTACGAGTGGCTGAACATTGCCTGCTACTACTACTAATACAGTACACGGCTAAATCGTTTTATGTCTGTCATACAACACAGAAGTTGGATCTTGATAGTGTGTCGCCCAGTTCATTAAAGCACATCTCTGTGTGCGTACGATCCTGTTGCGTCTAGCTTTCTGGGATGACTGTGATGTGAAGGTGAATGCAATAAACCCAGACCTGACCCTTGGCCCCTCTCCCTGCCCCCCTCCCTCCCCCACTCTCTGTCACGCAGTGACCTCCAGACTCCAGGCTTCTTTATTCATTACCGATTACAGCTTTTCCGAAGGCACGGACGATCATTACCCACACAAACAATGTACTCTCAATTTTTCTAATTCGCCACGCTGTGTGATGTTTGTTTATGCCAAAGCCCATCCGCAGGTGACAAGAACCGTTACCTGGGGCCTGAGCGTGTTTATCGGAGACAACGCCGTGGTCACGAATGGTCCATTTCTATCACGGGTCCTCACCTCCAGGCTGACCCACCCTGCTCGCACCCCGCCACGCCTCATTGCCATGCGGCGCGGCGTAACAACGCATACATTCAAAAATGATTATAATTGATTATTGGTATTCGTAATACATGCATCGGTGTGTGTGTGTATGCGCGACGATAAATCATAAACGATTTATGCAAATAATGCGCTCGTATAATTTGTGAAAATATTTCATAAATGTCGGCTTGGGCAGAGCACGCCGCTAGAATGGATGATGGTGGTGGCTGACAGTGGAGTGACAGCCAACGGAGGGAAGACGCACACGGGTGGACGCCTACTGCCGAGGTGTAGCCATGTGCAGGTGCTGGGCGGATTGTTAGGTCGTGAGAGATGACGACGGCCTGCGAGGGCCTTCATACAGCAGCGGATTTTTCACTGCTGATGGTGATATGGTGATGCTGAAAATCACGCGAACAATCGACACGGAAGACAAAACGAGAAACAACGCAAACGCAACGGCAAAGCACGAGACAGCAGAGCGACACGCCTTCTCGTTACAATTCTTCAAATCGCTGGGGGGTGGAGCGGGGCGGGGACGAATCGACACGTAAACATCGCGAGTTGCCATCGTCCCGTCCCGCAAGTCCTTCCTTGCAGATCGGCGGGGAAGGTCCTCGTCAGCCGACGATCGACATCGACGATGAACGCTGCGAGACAACTCCGGGTGAACAGCGACGTCTCGAACCAACGGCCGACATCGGATCCCACCAGTGAATCAACTGGTACCGGGATTCTCCGGAAGAAGAAAAAACAAACAACGTGATGCCCGTGACTCAATCGAACGCGCACGACACACGCCATCGTAACCACCGCCACCACCACACCGGATCCGGTTACCAGCTTCACAAGTGGAAAATCGAGGGAAACCTGAAACGGCACATGCAGAGACCCTGACCAAAGCGTAGAGAACATCGTGATCCACCGGCTACTTCACAAATTGACCGGAGGCCGGAGCAGCAGCAGAAGCAGCAATTAATTGTATGTTTGTTGAACTTCTTTCGCACCGTACGGAGCCAACCGTGCTAATCGGAGGTGCGGAGGAAGGACAACAAACTAATCACACAAATCAGTTTTAGAGAAATTCGTTTTCATTTAGTCTCACCTGACGCACGTCGGGTGGCTTTAAAACCTGCACATTGATGATTAAAGTTGCGATTCACTCGTCCGTACACGAGGAGTCGAGGTGGGAGATGATCAACTTAATCCCTCATGTCGATTACGCGTGGATGGATCAACGTTCTCACCTGTGTGGCCCTTGCAGTGGCGTGCGAGGCAGAAGACCTCATCGGGCCGGTCAATGAGTGCAGCGGTGTCTAATTGAACGATCAGAATGCCACCGCATACTCTTTGGTTTTATTCGGTAAAGTCCTTGCAGTAACGAAAGCTTCAAATCTAGAATGCCACCGCAGTTGCTTCAGCGGGGTTGACTGTGCTCCGTCATTTGGCGGTCTCGCCGGCGATCGTGCAGCAGTGACGAACCGGTGCTCGGAGGAGTCCCCAATCGGCCACACGAACGAGTCACCTACAACTTGAAATGGCAGGCTGCAAGCTGCCTCGTTCAAGAAGTGTCGATTCCAGCACAGAAAATTGGGCAGCACCGTTTAGTATGGGGGGTGGGGGGGGGGAGGGCGACATTTATAACCACAGATTCGGTGTACAGCCCTGCAAGTGACACCAGTTGACTGCAACTGCTGCGAAATCTGTCCGAAGGAAGCGATGGCGAGGTGCGGTGGCAGACCATGGCATTGGCTGAAATACCATCTTAGCTTCACCTTCAGTGTAGGTCACGACTCTTCAGTAGGGAGCACGCCCCCCCCCCCTTCCGTACAGATGGCCTACCACAAATGGCCTTAGCTCCAGGCATGCCATGATCGACCCCTTTATTAAGGCAACACATTTCCACAACGCGTATCAAGAGTCCGTTTGCTCGTCTCGTTAATGCGGCCTCGTCTGTTTTTACTCCGTCTCGTTCACCTCCACTATCATAAATGTCACGCGGACATATCATATGCACACACATGTACATGTAAATACTGCTATTGATTCCCACACGTGCATAAAACAGGTGCTGTAGGTTGCTGTGGATATAGGTTGTCAGCCAGGGGGCAGTGAAGCAGCATCCATTGTTGTATTGTACTATGCTCCAACGTCTATACGTCCCCCAAGTGAACCACCAACATGAATGGGCGACTACCGTGCACGCCAGCCTGCAGAAGGCGATCGCCCCGAGCCCCGCGTTTTGGGGGGTTGCCTGCCCTTCGACGTCACGGGGTGGTGGGATTTCCCCATAACCCCCCCCCCCCCAGCCCCATGGACGGCCCTGCCCATAGGCAGCTGCGGGGGTCGCGCTGCGCTCGTCAAACCGTACCCCTACGTCCACCCTCGGTGCCTCGCGACCCCTTGACCCGCGTCCCTCCACAGGCGAGCGGCATGGCGTGCCAGGACTGCGGGTTCCGGCGGGGGGCGACCACGCCGTTCGGCGTGCGCTCCTACCTGGACCACTTCTACCAGGGCTGCCGCTCGGAGCCGGACGAGGAGACGCTGCTGCGGCCGGGCGGGCGGCGCGGCGCGCAGGCAGCCGCCGGCGCCTCCACGGCGTGCAAGGTGCCGCTGCTCGCCGGTAGCGCCCGCGTGCACAAGCAAGACTCGGCAAAAGCGCAGGAGCCCCAAGCAGATTAAGGGCTCCTGGATGCGCAACCAAAACAATGAAAACTATTTGTGAACGTCAAGCTAAATTTTAGGTTTTTTTTCCTTTTTGCTGAGACACGTGGCGTCTTTCTGGCACAACTGTGCCACTCAAAGCGCCATCGCAGACCGATGAACATGATAAGTGAATTAACTTGAACAGCAATCAATCTCGCCCACCTCTAGCTTGTCTCTTCCTTCATCAGCATGCTACATCTGCGATTCATAATTAGGTTTCTCCAGCTCTGTCTCGAGTCGAGATCTTTCCCTCTCTCGTACCATCACATTTTGGTCTCACCGCCATTCCTCTTCTCTCATTTCACTATCTCCAGTGTTGTCCAAATTCATCTCATCTCGCCTGCGAATCTCTATCTCTTCTGTCATCTCACTCGGAGTTTATAAATTGAAAGCCCAGCAACCACCACCGCTGGTCCGGACACGACTGATTTTCCAAACAATGTTCATGGCATAAACAGAGCCTATTGGGATAGAGAAAAGTGAACGAGACACTCAGTAAACGATCATAGACCAGTAGAGAACGTTTATTAACACAAAACCGCAATTATTATTTCATGGAAAAAAATTAAAAACAAAGAATTGGCTGTGCAAACACGAACTTAACGTCATGTGTCAATCACGCTGCCCAATTTCCAGAGCTTAATTTCAGCTGGGTCTGTCCGGAAAGTATTTCTGTATGAAGCACATCACATCCAGTATAAATCTCACTATGGCTTTGTCTGCTAGTCACGTGTCACCTACTTCAGTCTGCGAGCGACCCAGTGAGATATGAAACTGTTGTAAAAAATCCCAATATTTGGGACAATGGTAATGACCCTTCTTCCGAGAAAAATAGGGATTGGTTTTTAGTTGAGTATTCCACTGCACAGCAAAAAATAATGGGACACTTGAGGGATGCTGACGTGAATAGTTATTAGAATGTTGTATTTTGAAGGGTTTATTTCATATTGGCCTTGAAAAAATGCAATACCATTGCTTGCTTTACTCTAAAAATATCAATAGCTGAACGGGTCCCAGTTTGGCTCTGTGATTATATGGATTTGTTATTCTGTGATAACATAATTGTGGTTTCTGTATGGAGCAGGAATTGTTATATTTTCGTATCATATTTGCTAAGCACAGGAGGCCCAACGGCCCGAAAATGCCAAGCGGCCAGCAACAAACAGCACTGTTAAACTTGTTATAGATAAGAGTTCAGATAGGTTATAATAACGTGGGAGAGAATTCCAAAGTCGTGCAGACAGATGGATATGTAAAAAAAAAATATGAAATCATCACATCAAGTCGTGTAATTAAATATCAGGACATGTACACACATTTCATTAATCGGCCTCGTTAAATCGGAAATAAACACACTGGTTCCATGCCTCGATGTCTTGCCAAACGAGCCAGACAGATTTTACAGTTCAACCCGAGTGTGTCGGATCGCGTTAGAGTGGCGCAGACGGACCCGCGATCATTTCGACTTAAGTCTGCTGCCGGCTCAACCTCACCAGGGGATGTTTAATGAGCTAACAAAACCTCTTCTGTCTTCCCGTTACAAACATCCCAAAGGGGCAGGGCACACACACAGGGGTGCCGCAACAAATCAGGGACATTTTTGTGCTCTGTACAAAAAAATCGGCAGACCCATTGTCATTATTGGCGTTTGTTTACCCAGGAGTTTCGTGAGTTTTCAAGGAGGCACCTTTCACGTCCTTACAGTAGGCGCACGACAATTGCCCTGCACAATATTGTATAATGTATCATCCCAAACGAGTAATTGTGCGGTTTAATTTTAAAAATTCGGACCATGACGTCTTCACGGGTCTCTCAAACGTCCGCTGGTGAAGCCGACTGCGCGCAGTGATATCGCCCCGGTTCCTACACCCACACTGATTACCAGGGTGGGCCGCTCGATTCCAACCGTGCGAGCTGACACAATCATCTCTGGCGCGCCGTGAAGCTCCTATACACAACGCCATGCGACGATGTCACTTGGCTGTGTCGGGTGGCAGGAGCGGGCGGGATCATTGCGCGGGCCTAACGCCAAAGACAAACAGATATTTACGAATGATAAAACAACCCACGCGCTGATGTTAAATTCCATTTCACACGCGGTTACAGCTAAGCATCTCGTGTCTACGTCCACGTGCCTGCTGTGCAGGATACTCCTCCGAGGGCCACCAAGTCCCCAGCCTCTCTGTAGCGACCTCAGAGGTGACCAGGGGCGTAACGAGCGTGCGGCAGGCACGGGTGCCTTGCCAGCCCCACCCCTGACAACCACCGCGAGATTTGTTTTCAACAACAGTCTAAAAGAACAAAAACACGTATTTAAATGGAGGTTCAAATGTATTTTCATGAACATGATTTCATTTACGTTCCACGTTTTATGTTTTTATCTCATTACAGCAGTAACGTAATATTGCAAATAAGTACTACGGAGCTGTTTAGTGGCTGCATTTTGCGAAGACGCGGCGCCTTTTACAGCGTTAAATGTTCGAGACCGTGAGCGTTTGCATTCGGCAAGCAGAGCCGCGGTATCTCGTAGCCTGGGGGGCGACCGTGCAAGATAAATCAAAATATTGGGGGGGGGGGGGGGGGGGGGGGGTGGGGAGCCGGGGGGCGGGGGAGGGCGGGGGCATCCCCCCCCCCCAACCCCCTCCGGAGCGATTGCCGCATCTCCCCGTGCCGAGAGCGCAGTTGACTCCTCCCGCTGGCGGCGGCCCCCGTACCTGTGCCGAGCGCCCGTTGCTTGGCCCCCCTTGCGCCGCGTGTGCGCAGGCGTGGTTCGCATGTGGCCTGCTCGGCATGCTGACGGGGGCCGCGGTCATGCTGACCGCCTACCTCGCCCCGGCTCGCCTCGAGGCGGTCGGCAACGGCGGCGGCGGCGGCCCGGGCGGCGTGAGCGACGTGCTGCTGGTCGACCCGAGCGCGGCGCGTTTCAACCGCATTCTGGAGGGCTCCAAGCTGGCGGGCGCGCTGCTGTTCGCCGCCGGAGGCGCCGCGCTGTCGGGGAGTCTTCTGGTGGCCGCGGCGGCCGCACGGGGCCGTGGCGGCGGCGATGATGATGGTGGTGAGGTGATGACGGCGGAGCACCAGCAGCAGTATCATCAGCAGCAAGAGGACGAGGAGGTGGTGCAGGAGAACCGGCTGCTGCTCCACGAAGTGCGGCCCGTGGCCAGCGGGGCCGTGCCCAAGTCGGGGTGAGTGGCACGGGGCGCTTGGCCTTGGGGCAGGGTTCTTAGCTCGTTTTCAGAGGTGGGGCCGCTTTCGCCGATAAGACGTCACCAGTGTGAGGGCCGCCACGACATTGGAAACCATTGGGGGTTTGACAGCAGCACGATAATGATGGGGGTGTTTTCACTTGTTGTGCATTTTCGGGGGTCGCATTAAAGGCCACCAGGGGCCGCCAGTGGCCCGCGGGCCTTGAAATGAAGAACCACTGCCAGGGTGGTGGTGGTGGTGGTTACACGAGGTCAGAGGGAGAGCGAGCGGCCTCGCAATCGGGAAGGTCGCGAGTTCAAATCCTGATTGGGGGTTGACGCAGCCCATCAACCCTCCGCGGTCGATACAAATTAATACCGCATGTTGTTTGGAAGTCAATAGTGGTTCTGTGGATTGACAAGCACCGCCCCCCCCGCCATAGGAACGTGGAATTTCCACCACTGGCTCAGGGCTGCCAACAGGGGATGAGCATCAATGCCTCAATGTTCGTTTGAGCAGCAGGAGTCACTTTGCCCTGCACAGTATGAGCTCTGTTGTCAGTCACCCGCAGTTGTCAGACAAGGGTCGTTTCACGACCAAAAAATTCAAGCCGATGGACTAGAAAATGTGTTTATTTACACGTGGAGATACAGAACAGAGTTGTACTTGGCTCTGCTTTTACTCCTCATTGTCCGCAGCAGCGCATGCGTTTGTATACAAACCCTGTTTATTTTGTTGAGCAGGGCCCCGTTGTTTAGACGAAGTGCGCTTGCCAATAGCACGTGGCGACTCAGCAGCATTTAATGTGATAGGCGTGACACTGCTGACGAAACCCGACTTATCAAAACCGGTACAGTTTTCTTGCTTCAACAAACGCTGCTAGATAATATTGCTTTCTAAAGCCAATAGAGTCGATGGACTGCACCTTAGTTGTATCTTCATGCAGAGATACAGAATGGAACGTTGCGTACAGATACTTTTCTTCAGTAGGTATGACGTCTCAAACTTGTTCACGTCGTCCAATCCTTCAATCTCCCAGTGTGGTTCCGAGCATGCGTCTTTCCGTGCTTCATTACTTTTCGTGTTTTGTTCAATCCTCTTTGTCCGTGTTTCTGATCCACGTCACAGTAGGTAATACACACAGATAAAACATACAATCTTCCTTGAGACGCATCGACGAAGTTGCATAACGTGCATCAACATAAACGTTACGCCACTCTTTGATCGACATTGTTTGAAAGACTACGAATCGTGTCGGGTCCGATTTCAGGTATGGGGTAAACCTGCACGTGGGTGTGACACATGCCAATATCTGTTTTCGAGAATTTAGATTGGGGAATTGCCCTTGAACGTTTACACCCATGTGACTCCGCCAATGATGACGCAGCCGCGCGTCTTGCACGGGAGATGTCGTGCGGAATAATTCATCGCGGTCATTTAAGTAGCCGGAAGAATGAACGCAACGGGTGGCTTTGTTTACATTTCACGCGTGTTTTTTTCATTCGACCGCATGGGGCATCTCGATGGGAAGATTACGAAGGGTCTTTTGATGTCCCCCCAAACGCGCTCTGACGTGCACGGTGTCTCTCTCCGCATTAGCGCCGAGGTCAGGGGGAGCAATCCTCGGAACGAAAACCAGAAAATGCTTTTATTTGTCGCCGGCTTCGCGTTTGCAGACGCGCGTGAAAACGCAACAAAGCAAACCGTGCTATAGTGCATGGAGCCCCAAGCAGATGAAGGGGTTCGTGAATATAAAATAGCGAGGTATAACATTTCAGCTCGAATGAAAAACTTATCAAATATATCAAGCTAATTAATATATAAAAGTCAACCCTCATCCCTGGTCTGCATCTCTCGTTTCACTGCATCTCTTGTTTATACAAATACTCTCATCCCAATACATCTTTAATGTTTTACCTACATCTTTTTCGCATCTCACTTCATATCGATCTCTGCCTATTTATCTCTTCCGTCGCCGCACGTGGATTTAATAAATTGGCCCACATAATCAGTTTTGCTGAGGACCACCCAAAGAGTATGGATCCTTGCAGTCACGAAAACTTCAAATCTAAAAGGAAATAGGCAGGTAGGGACCAGAACTGCGAGAAAGCTTCCCCAATGAATTGTAAATGAAATTGCAGCGATGCCTGAGATCCAGTGAGGCTGCCCTGACCCTGGAGTCGAGTTGATTTTGGTGTAAGCAGGGTGAGTACTCACGAGACCGGGACATGAGACTCATTTGCGAGGGTCACCCGGGTCGTCAAAATGACAACGGTCAAACAAAAAAATAAAGTAACAGCAATGAAGCAAATAGGGAATTGAAAGTGAGTGAGCTCAGGTGCCCGATTTAAAAACCACCCATGTCTCGTTACTAATGTCTGTGTTCTATTCCGTATTGGGTGAGTTGCCATGGTGAAATGGTGAGCCCACTAAACTTGCAATCCAGAGGTCGCCCGGTCGACTCCATGTCCAGGCGCAGCAGATGAAACGACGGGGCAGGTTTCTTAAATCCCCTCCGCCGCCCCTGTACACACGCCCAGCAGTATCAGTGGGTACACCACATCAAGCCCTGCCCTTCACCTCCCGTACAGCGGTGTTTCGTGTTGTCCGGTTCGTTGAGTAACCAAACGGCTAATCGGCAGAGTAATCGATTGCTCAAAGTCAGCAGAGGGCCCAGCTCTGGAGCCACAGAACGGGCACAGGGGACCCACTCTGCAGCACCAGGTGGCCCAAGCAAGCCCCCGCAACGCTTCTCTTCACCTCTCTTTCACCTCTTCTTCACCTCTTCTTTACCTCTCAAGGCGCAGGCTTTGGAAGTGATCCGCGTCCCCCCCGCCCCCCCCCCCCCCCCGGGCTGCGGCGATCGGGTACCGAGGACCGGCGTCGAGGCCCAACCACCTCCACCCGGAGCTCCACCACCTCCGTCCACGACGCCGGTGGAGCCGACTCGTCCAGCCGGGTCCGTTTGACGAAACAAGAACGCTCGCGAGGGACGCTCCGCTCCCTCCCCCCCCCCCCCCCCCCCGCGGGGACGACGCCGAGCGGAGGGGGCCGCCTGACGGCCGTAGATTGGCCAAGCCGACGGTTGGTGTGCTGGGGAGAACCCGGGAACTGATCGTCGTGCGTCGTGCATCTGAGCCGTGCCACTGGCGTGTCCCCGAGTTTTCCAAAGCAGTTCAGGTTGCATGCCGTGGCAGTTCCGAGGGCGGTTGATTCTCAAACTGCCTCCCCCCCCCCACCTCTCCACCGCATGGTAAATGGCGCATCCCACAAATGATGCATCACCGTCGTCGGCTGCAACAGCCACGTCCGTGAGCGTCACGCACGGGGCATTAATTTTTGAGTGACGCCATTTGTTGCGTGTGTGATTGCGCTACAGTCGCTCTCAATCCCCCCCATCCTCCTCCTCGTGTATCGATGTCCGATGTTTCGTACCACGTGCTTGGGCCCTTATTCGTGAACCAGTGCATTTCCTGGTTCCTGAAGAAGGCTTGCAGTACTTGGAGTCAAAAAGTCGGACGTCGCGCCAAACAGCGCATCTGAGAGCGGCGTGGTCCAAGGGCGACAACCTTCCCTCTGGCACGGCCATGACTCTGTGACAACCACGATCAGATGCACACACGGTGATCGTCTGCGACCGATGTTAAGTTTCGCCATTCGTCCTGCCGTCAGTGACTGTTTCTTGCACAAAAGGCACGTGTTTACGTGTGGCGCGTGTGTGTGGCGTGTGTGTGGCGTGTGTGTGTGGAGATAATGTTTATCTTGGGCAAAGTGAGCAGTGCTTTGCTTTGTAAACGCTTCGCCCCTTGTCTGATCTTCAGTTCCACTCCGGACATCGGCAATCGAAGGGGGGAATGAGGGGGGGGGGGGCTCTTTGTGTGTCGTGGAAATGACCCCTACACAAAGGGGTCATTGCCGCGACATTTATCGAGTGCTCAGAAGCCATAGGTGGCACCGATGGGTGGCGTTAATGTTAATTTTTTTACAAAAAAAACACCACAATGTTGATACGCGCTTTTGTCCGAGGTAGAGGGGCAGCCCTGTAATTTCTTGTTTACTCTACTGCTAGCAGAAGAGCCTCCACCACAGGACGCTCTAGAGGGCCTGCTTTTCTATGCTTTCCAGACGTCTTGGAAGAGGTAGGACTACCCACACTTTACCCCGCCACATGTGACCGGCCAATCATAGATTAGCTGCGGGGCTACCCATTTGTACTGCTGGGTGAGCGGTGGTGGGGGGGGGGGGGATTTAAGACGTTTGCACCGTTGTCTCAGCTGCCACGCCGGGAGATTGAATCGATCCGGCGAGCTCTGCGTTGCAAGTCCAGTGTTGCTGACCAATGCGTCGCTGTGGCGGCCCCCCTTCATTCCAGAATGAATCGTTTTAATAATGAACTCCTTCCGAGGCGGGAGAGGGGGAAGGGAGCACACGATCGCATGCACGGTTGGCTACGTACGGTGCGAAAGAAGTTCAGCATACGCACACACATTGCGAGATACTGATCCTGATTCGCATATCATGCTGAAAATCCACGTGGCATAGTTCGCAATCTTAGTAAGCCACCGTGTTGCAAACGGAGGTTGCTGCCCGCGTGGTATAGAACTCCCATTCCCCAAGCCATCTGTGCTGTCGACTGCGTGCCTCTGTTCAAGTCCAGCCTCAAGACCGTCCTTTTATCCGCTGCTTGTATCTGTAAAATAAACATTGCCCCCTGTGGCCTGTACGGCGCTTTGAGAGGCGGTCGCATCTCGACGCTGCCGTACAAGTCCGCATTGCGTCGCGCTGATCGTTTTTTGCGATTATTCGTTTGTTAGTAATGAAGCTTAATGCGGCATTGCCGGGAAAGTATAACGGGGCACCGAACCTCTGCCTCCGTGAGCAGCGGCTCGGTGGCCACGAGGGTCGCCACCTCCGAGGCGCGACGAAACCGCGACGTGTCTTGGGAATGTAACATAATTGGTGACGATTACTCATGCACCCAGGAAAGCCACAGTGAGGGTGCGCGCTCCATCGGGGTGATTGGCAGACACCGATTTCATGGCGTGTGTTTAGCGAAGGGAGGAAACCGGCTAAATGGAATATCTCACAGTGCCGGAAGGGGGGAGGGCTCGGACTTTTCATGTCCCGCGCGGACTGACTGATTTCCCAGGATGGTACCGACCTCCTCAACGAGAGGACAATCCTGGAAAGACCAGGGACAGGTGGCAACCCATTAGGCCGGCCGGTGTCACAGCGCCGCTGCGTCAACCTGCGCTGTGTTTGTGCCGCACCCTGCACATCGGCGTCGGGTTCTAGACAGGAGCGGCACAACACCACGTGGTTGTGGCCGCCGGCACGTGGATTGGGGTGGTGGTGGTGGTGATGGTGGTGGTGGTGATGGTGGTGGTGGTGGTGGTAGTGGTGGTGGTGGTGGTGATGGTGGTGGTGGTGATGGTGGTGGTGGTGGTAGTGGTGGTGGTGATGGTGGTGGTGATGGTGGTGGTGATGGTGGTGGTGGTGGTGGTAGTGGTGGTGGTGGTGGTGGTAGTGGTGGTGGTGGTAGTGGTAGTGGTAATGGTGGTGGTGGTAGTGGTGGTGGTGGTGATGGTGATGACGATGGTGATGATGGTAAAGGTGGTGATGATGGTGGTGGTAATGGTGGTGGTAATGACGATGGTGATAATGGTGGTTAAGGTGATGGTGGTGGTGGTGGTGGTGATGGCGATGGTGGTGAAGGTGATGGTGGCGGTGATGGTGGGGATGCGTGCGGGAGACGCAGGCCGTGGTGCGGAGCAGTGGGTCGCGGGGACGGCCCAGTGCGCGCCAGGCGCATTGACCCCACCCGTCGTGCTTGTGGGCCGTCCTTGTGGTTGTGCTGTTGTCATCGAAATAAAAACAATCGTGGAAAAAAAACATCGAGACAACCGAATCTGCCGCCGCTGCTGCTAATTATCATGAGTCAATACGTGCTTGTGTGTCATCGTACATCAAATCACCGCTTGTAACCATAGTAATAATAATAACAGTGCATTTGGTAAATGTGAAAAAATGTATAGGGCAAGGCTGTCACGAAGGAAGACGCTCTGTTAATTAATTTGGCCCATTTGCAGGTGCTGGGTGGATTGTTACATCACAGGCTCGTGAGAGATGGTGATAGCTTGGAGAGGCTTGCATCCAGCAGTGGATTGATCATAGCTGCTGATGATGCTGCTGCTGATCTTCGCTGAAGAGAGTCCTGCATCGGGATGTTTGGTCACGTCAATGAGTGTGTGTTGTGTGCGCGTGAAGTGTGACGCCGGTGTGTGCACTGATGATTTGCCAAAGCAAAAGCTGTGGCAGCGCTCGGCACGGGTAGACCCAGCAAGAGATGTTAGGGTCCCGGGTAGCTCAAGTGCCTCGGGATGCATGGGGAAACGGTGGTTCAAATCATCGCCACCAATTTGTATCCTAATCAACATAACATTGCAATTAACAGAGAACTCCAATTGATATCTCACATCGATATCCTGCCTGCATCTCTACTTTCCACATCTCACGACATCTCTGCACAGTATTGCCTACATTTCTCTCATCTCGCTCCATCAGTGTCCTTCGTCGACGTCTCTGCTGCCACCTCAGTGGGCCCGTGCGAGCCAAAAAAGGGCCCACGAAATTCGTGCTTGGGACCTCACCCCCCCCCCACCTCCCCTCCATGGGGTCAGCGCGGCCACACCTGGCCCACGGTCACCTGCTTCCGAGTCCGCGAGCCGCGTTGATAAACGAGGCTCGTGAGGGATGGTAAAACATCGAGTTTATTACGTATCAAATTCACAGGGGGCTTTAAAAAGGGGGGCCTCAAAGCCACGGCGACTGCGCGTGTCGGGTGTCGGTGAGCGTTGCACCGCTGGTCGAGGCCACCGAACGGAGGGAGGCCGGCTGACCAAATGTCGACCAACTTGCGTTTCAGCACCTAAAATCTCACGCCTGTTGAGTATCGGGTTATTAATCCAGCGGAAAGGGCTCCGCTTACGCGGTCGTTGGAAAGATACGAAAGAAATACATAATTGCTGCCATTCTCAATCCGCCCATGGGTGAAGGCCTCCTCGCGCCATGATGGGGATTGTTTTTTTGACCATACTTCACCACACTGGTCAGTGCGGCTTGGTGAAAGGTTGAGAGGCCCGGACCGCTCGCCACTTATGTGAGCTGTGGCTGGGACTCGAACTCGGCTCGCCTGGTTCATAGCGCGGTGCGCTAACCACCGTATCCTCACCACTGTGCCCGGTAGTTTATAGACGGTCATTATTCTCGTCGCCATCTAAGTCGCGAGTTATCTAAACGTTTATGGCTGTGACATCGGTTACACGGTGGGCCTGTTTCTCACATTCTCACAATTGGTCTCGAGCGAAGTCAGCCGGTGGCAGCTGCCGTTGTAATTGAGCCATCAACTCGGTAAAAGTTGCCTCCCAGGGTTGTGGGGCAGCTAATGATGGCCCGGGCCGCCTTGGCGGAGCTGATGATCGACGCGTGACGAATTGCCCCAGCGATGCTGTCAGTGCCGCATGCTGTCAGTGCCGGCGAGGTCGGCTGTGTGTGGCCGCTCGCCCTCTCTCCGCGAGAGGCTCTGCCGCTGCACCGACAACTGGGCACGTTTACCGGCAACGAGAAATGCATTCTATAAAACTGGGTTTTTTTAATTTACCAGGTAAGGCCCCACCGAGAACTATGTAGCTCTTTTTCAGAAGCCGCCTGGCCATAAGTGAAGTGGCTTATCGCGTGGAAATTCATAGCAGCCAAATACTCTAAACGCGCGTTTTTAAATGTGGGGAGGAAAAAAACGAAGGACACGGAGAAAAATCCACGCGACCACGGGGAGAACATGCAAACTCCAAATATACAGGCGTCAAGGTTTGGGATCGAACCCACGACCTCCTGCATAGCAGGCGAGAGAGATGACATCTCGCCTCCGCGGCGCCCCATACTGATGCTAGCCCATGACCACAGCAGCCAGAAGACACCCGATGCCGTCAGATCGCGTAATCTCAGCAGCGTGGAGCCTGCACAGCGCTGGGATGGGTGCCGGCTGCGTACAAAAGACGGGAGCACTAGGCCTCGTGGGCAGCAGAGGGCAGTGCAGGAAAAGCCGTCGCCGTTCTGCACTCCCCACCACCTTCACACGCGCACCGACCGGCATGATCAAGTATGGTCAAATATCCAACAATCAATGGGGAGGCCTTCATCCAGCAACGTGTTGGCATAACGGACTGTACTGTACATGTACTGCTGCGCGTCTATGGGTACTGTACACTTAATCGCCTTTGTGTTAATCCACTGCTGGATGAGGGCCTCCCCACGCTGCGCGGGTTGCGTTGGGTTATTTGACCATACTTCGCCACGCTGGTCAAAGCGATTGGTGAAGACGGGGAGGAGCATACGCGGTGGGAAGTTACGGACCGCATAGCAGTTCAGTACAACAATGGCTTTCCCGTGCACTCCCCTGTGGGTGCCCACGACGCAGCAGCCCCGTGCCAGTCCGCGGCACGACCACAAAAGCCCAGCCACAAATCCCGCTCAGCTTGCCCGAGGTCTCGTGAGACCAGGCTCCTTGCGGGTCACCTGGACACGGCCTGGGAGGTGGTGATGATCACTGCGTTGCAATTTGGTTATGGCTCATCGTCCGGTAGCAAACGCCCGCAGATGAACAGCGTAGGTGTTGAGTGAGTGAATGAAAACCCGTGGACCCCCCCACCCGCCTGTCTGACGGGCAGCGTGGTGGCAAATCGGAGCCGTTCCGGTTGGTGGCGTCAACGCGGAGACCTCGAGCGAGTTTGAAAAGTTTGCCCAACAGCGTCGCTGGCTATTCACGGCGGCGGTGGTGGGATTAGCACGATGCTTCGGAAGCACCGACTTTACGTAATCCCGTAACATTGACCCCATTCACATATCGCACTCATTGAAGGTGCAGTAGCCCCGCAACTGCTCGCTCACGCCACTGCCGGCGGAGGGACCTCAGGGAGCTCAAGAGGGTATTTGTCGTCGTCTTGCTCGCTGGCCAAACATCTGGGACGAGGTGGCGACTAGGGCCCTCCGTAGCGGGAGGCGGGGGCTCCCAACGCCTTCAAACTAAACCAGAAGTATTACATCTGACACCGTGACTTCGAAGCGGGATCATAACCCCCCCCCCCTTCCAAAAGCGCGGGACCCGGGGCGGTCGCCCTGACCCTAGGGAAGACTCCTAGGTGGGGGTACCCACACTTTACCCCACCCACGCGACCTGCCGATCGACCCATTGTGGCGTGCCAATGCGTGCTGCTGCTGCTGCTACTGGGTAGGCAGAGGGCGCGCTGACGCTTCCACTGGCGCGCCGGGAGGTTTAATCGAACCGGCGACCTCTGGGTCGCAAGTCCAGCACGGTCACCACTGTGGCAGCGCTCCTAAAATATTATACAGTAACATTTGAAGGTTATCTTATTGAATCCCATACAGGAGAGTTAATTTAAATAATCGGCCATTACAATTGTGAAGCCTACCATGAGATGTACAAAGTTAATAGGCGCTACGTCGTTACGAAGGACAAAATAAAATAAAGACTTTGACGAACACATAAATATGTATACAATTAACTGCAGTACATATAATATGCATTTAAATGTATATATACCGTATTGCATATTGTATGTAATCACTCAGGCTATAACATTACGGTTGAAAAGGACACTTTGTCATGTAATTATCAAAAGTTACTATCGAACGCGAAGAAATTAAACCACGGGATGAGTGACCGGAGGTTTACACGCACACAGCAAAACAACGACGCCGCCACTTATATACAACGAAGGTCGCTCCCCCTCCATCAGCTGGGCAGCGACACGCTGATAGCGGGCACCATGATGAACGCGGGGCTCAACTGGCACTTGCCCTAGGAATGTGGAGTTTCCACCGCTGATTCCATCAGGACCGCCAACAGCACGTTCGGGTTGAGCTCCGACGGATTCCTGCCACTTGGCTTGAGTGGCGATGACATTTTGCTGTTGCTTTATATTTTCTCATCGACGAAGCCACGCGCACACACGCACGCAGCGCGCCGATGTTGCTGGCTCGTTACTGAAGAAGCTCTTCGCCGGCACGTGCAGCGAAACGTCGGTGAATTCGTGCCGACGGCGCACATCGGAGAACCGCGCGAGGAGATGGACGAACGGCCCCAAAACAAAAACAACTCCCAACACCCAGCCCCACGCGCGCGGGCTGGTCCGGGCCATGCGGGAGGGCGTCTGCAGAGGGCGGTGGTCGACTCCGCGTGGCGTCTCTGCGCGTGGGGCGTCCGTGGCGCTTCCACCCCCCGCGCCGCCCCGGGGGCGCGGGCGGGCGGGCGCCGAAGCCGCGTCCAGCCGCCAGCAGCCGCCGCCTACTTCTCGTGGCTCCGAGCCAAGACTCCTCGCCGCTACCGCCGTTGTTATTGCCCGTCTGGCTACTCTCTCGACGTGTTTTTGTTTTCTCTCCGTCTCTCTTTCTTTGAGCCGCTTGCCGCCGCCGCCGCTGCTGCGGCTGCCGTGAACCGCCGCAAATAAATTCTTGCTCGTTTTGACAAAACGTCCACGTGCTTGCAAGTGCTTGGAAGTGGGATATTCGTTTTTTGTACACACACAGAAGAAGAAGAAGAAAACAACTATCTCTCTCTCGCCACTCTCTCTCGCTCTCTCAAATCGTTGGTGAGGATCTTGGTTTGTTGCCCAGCTCCCCCCCCCCCCCCCCCCGAGCTGATGATTTGTCTCTGTTGCTCCGCTCGGCCGTCACTCGCGCGTGTTGTTATTTTGTCCTTTCAAGGAGACGGAAGAGAAAGACGTAGGGGTGGGGGGGGGGGGAAGGAAAAGAGAGAAATCATTTCGCGTGTTGGCATCACGGAACGTTGCTTTTGACAAATGGACTTCGCGCGCGCTTTGTTGATGCTACGGGGAACTTGGGACGCGGCAATGAATCGCAAGCATCCACATTGACGAGGGACACGGCACAAAAGGGGTGAACATTGCACAGACAAGCACAGAGTGGTGACTGCGTGGAATTTGCGCTGAAGACAGAAAGAGGAGCACGCGGATTAGATGAGGACATACGCAAGCTAGACGCATATTGATGTCGCTTTGTGTAATTCCAAGAATGCAGCTCTCCATTCTTTTTTGCGCACTGTTTTTTTTTGTTAATCCCCCCGATTAAATTTGTCTGATGTCCACGTTTATATTTCTGATCCAAATTGTGCGACAAGTGATAAGCACCGATTCAAAGAGACATCAGTGACGGAGTGGTGGCTAAAGGATGGACAGTCAACAATAAAAACCTTTCCTGACAGTCAACAATAAAAACGTTATAGCGGAAACCACCGCTCAAAGTCACACCCGCCACCACGTGTTTATAGGAGTGTTATTACGAGCGTTTTTTAGGCTCTTCAGGGCGTGTGTGTATGTTTGTGCAAGTGTGTTACGTGATAGTGGGGAGCGGTAGTGTAGTGGTTAGCGCGCGGCGCTACAAAACCAGCGACCATCGCCTGTGATTATTATCTAAACCAGTCCTGGACCTCCCCTAGGTCCACTCAACCTCAAATAAGAAACTCGTGCGATGCATAAACATCGCCATTAGGGAGAGAAAGTATGGGGCAAGGTCGGACGTGGTGCTGGCCGCCTACCACCTCGTGTGCCGTACCGGCCTTCAATAGGCGCTCGCTAACAACACTTGCTCCATACACTCTGTTAAGGCAATGCGGATGATATTTTTTTACGTGAGAGTTATACAGCATAGCTAAGGCTGGTCTCAAGATGAGTGAGAGCAAAACATTGGGTGATGTGGAGCGAGTTCGCTTCATGCATTCTAAACACGGCTCGTGGACTCTGAGCTCGATTGCGGCTCATTGTGTATGTTGTGTGTCTGGCCGGTCATCTCAGTCATCTCAGTCAGTCAACCCGTGGTACCTAGGTCTGTCCCGTGACCTCCTGCCAGCGGGCGCTCGACACTTCACGTGGCCTTTACGTGCACCTAGCCTGGCACGAGCGCTACGGGAGGTCCAACCAAACTTCCCGATCTGGCCGATAAAGCGCGTTTCCTGTGAACTTCTCGTCCAGGTAACGCTGTCGCGGTGCAATGGGCAGGACAGAGTGAACTTGTAGTCCAGAGGTCGCCGGTTCGAGTGGACCGCGCGACGCAGCACTGAGAGCGATGGGACGAGTCGATGACATCGTCCCAGCCCTCTGCCCAACCCCCAGCAGTGTACACGGGTGCAGAGCAATCAGTACAGTGGCAGGCCGCGTGTGGTGGGGTAAAGTGTGGGTACTCAGCCAGCGTGGAAGTGGAGGCTAAACTACTTTACTCCTCTACCTCTCTGGCCTCGCTCCATGTGTTCTGAAGAAGGGTCATTGCCAGAAACGTCGCCTATTATATATTGCTTTTGTTTTTAAGGCCACGGTGCTATTGACAAAATGTGCTGAGTTATGATCCCTCTGCGGGGACACGTGCGAGCGGTTGCAGGGCTTCGACTCTGCCTCCGTGCAGCGGTGCAGTACTCACGTGTACATGGGCTGCAGCTGCATGTGCGCGGGTTTCTGGGGGACCTGGTACGTGGTTGGGTAGGGGTCAAATCCACCGATGAAATCGACTGTAGGGGGTAGAGGAGGAGGAGATGGGGGCGGAGGGTTGGGGGGAATAGACAGACATCCGCGAGTGATGCAGCGCAAAGACGAAAACCCGCACAGTAGTGAAACACAACGACCGCGTCACCCATAATGCGCCCCGATCTGTTCAGCTGTCTGAAGCCAAGCGGCTTGAGCCTGGATAGCGCTGCGTTGGGCGCCCTCCGTGCCTGCCGCAGGAGGTCGTCGCTGTAGGCGGTGGTGGCTGGGGGACGGGGGGGGGGGGTGTAACGTGGTGGACAGCAGAGGGCTTCACCCACCCCGCTTGGCGTGCGAGATGCGGTGACATCGGGCACAGCGTGGGGTGAATCGCGCACGGTCGCGACTCGACGCCGCTGTCACAATGCGGGAGGGTGAGCGTGGGGGTTGCGATGTAACCACGCGGGGTTTAGGAAACGGGCGAGTGCGGCAGAGCGACTGGGCCAAGCAAACTTCGGCTCGCGCTTGCGCGGCCCCGTCGAGGCGTCACCGCCGCCTTATGATCCGCGGCTGGGCCGCGTGGCATTCATCGGGCGTGCCGCTGCTGCTGTGCACACCGCGCGCAGGGCAAAGGTCAAGCCCAGAGGACTCGACAGTCGTCGACAGCGCACGTGGCGCCCAAGCTCCCGCTGCAGCTCGGACCTCAGCTTTGGCTGCGCGGCAATCGGGCGGAGATTTCCGTCAATCCGCTGCTGGATGACGGCCTCGCCCCCCCCCCCCCGCCCCCCCGCAGACTACCTGCTGGATCTCCTCTCTGTTTCGAAGAACAAATGTGACCTAAGGTCTTCGCTCATTTACCAGCTTCACATTCCTTATTGCCGCACAAATACTGGAGGAAGGGCCTTTGCTATTGATGCCCCCAGGGTCTGGAATGATATTGCCAATAAACTGCAACTTGAATCACTACCTATGAGATCTTCACTCAAAACTGCTCTAGAGGAGTTGCACACCCCTAGCTGCCACTGCTATTCAATGGCCTAAAATCAAATGTTTCGCTCTGGATGACCGCTGCAAAGTATGATCTTGTGTTTTGATTTAGTGTGCTGATCTTTAAAGGTGCATTGAAAATTTTTGATACTCCGACTGATGCTCCTGCTGTTGTGGAGTGATTCATGCAGCCAGCTTTGGCAACAGGGTTTGGTGGTACATGTTGTTCATGTCGTTTATTGTGAAATTTCGGTCACAGTTCCTATGATCACTGTTACATTGCTTTTATGGCTTTATTATTGTGATTTCGAAAACTTTTTTGGTTTGGCCATGTTTGTTTGTTGTAGTACGGCGTTACACTGATGGCTTTAATCTAAGTTGTCTTGTGGTTGTTGTTGTTGTTTGACTTGCATCCCACTGAGATTTTTGCACACAGCGTTGGTGTACAGTGCTTTTTCTGGAAATTTTTTGCAGTTTTTTCCTGGATTTTTCTGTTTGCGCATAGTCACTTTAAGATGTTTTCTTGTTCATGTTTTTGTTTGTTGCGGTTGCACCCGATTCAAGAGCCGAATGGCTCACAGGGCTATACCAAATTAATGAAGAAAAAATGAAAAACTGAGTGAGGGCGTCGTGGTGGGTGTCTGAGCGCACTGCGCCATTAGCTGGTCCGTGCGGGTGGGGGTCGGAGGGGGAGGGACCCAGGACCGGATTCGATATCACTCGCCACTGATGTGAGCCGTGGCCAGGCAGCAAACTCAGTCGCAGGACTCAGAGCACGGCGGGCAGAGCGGGCGGTGAACCAGTGCCGTCGGACGCGTCCCTCCCTTCCGTGCGCTGTGATCGTGGCGACGTTACGCGCTCTCTGATTCTCGCACTTTAATTTTCTACATTCACGTTCATGAATAACCCAACCGGTAATTGATATACATTGTAATTTATATGCATGCATTACCGCACCCCCCTCGCTCTGGCCTTCGTATCTGATTGGCTCACAGGTGATGACATCGCATGTATTTCTCTATTTAAGAACGAAATAGGAGGAGGATTTCTCCACAAATTTGGCTGTCGCCTGATGATGCGAGTTATAATTACTGACGAAACGTCGTAATCGAATTATAAATGTTGCGGGTTTACTCTCCGATACACCGGTGTGCTGTACTCGTAACGAATTGGCATGTTCTGTTTACGTGACAAACCTTACTAATCGCCTGTGTCGGGTGGTGTCGGGTTTAACGATACATTTATATTTACGCGATCTAAGCCAAAACAAAACCTGTATTAATGATTCATATTTATAGAAACAAAACATATTAATTAATTCCAATAATTAATAACACACACAACAAAAACACATTTAAGCCAGCCCAGACATTTCGCGGTGTCGAGGGCGCGCCACGTGGCACGTGCTCACTCACAGCTGTCCTCCTCCTCCGTGAAGACGCTGATGACGTAGCACGCGTAGACGAAGCCGACCAGCTGTGGGCGACACAGACAGCGGTTGTGAAGCGCACCCTTGATGATTAAGATTATGATGATTTGTACTTTGCTTGTTTAGCCTGTAGAAACAACAACAATTCTTATTTTCATTTTGTATTGGAGTACTACCGTGAATGGAAAGCAGGACATGAACAGAACCTGCAGGGTAAACGGACGGAACTCGACGGGGGATGAAGGCAAATTTAAGGAGGTGAGATTTCAAGACAGACTTAAATTACAGCTCTAATGACTCTGATTGTCTTATTAGCAAAGAGAAAAGCGTTGTTCCATCGTCTGAGAGCCGCACAATGACAACATCCCGATCACCCCAGGATAATTAGCCTCACTCCTTTACAAGAGGCTCCAGGTTCTTGCAGAAGGGTGCTATGTCGCCACGTGTAAACACAATGGAGTGAATTTGCAGGGATTGTTTTAAAGCATTTGCAAATATTGTTGCCACCAGTGCCAGTTCCATTGTGTGTGATACTTTAGAAATGGAAGAAACCCCGGAGAACCCGGAGGAAACTATAACCCATGCAGAACTGGGGGAAAACTCCACACACTCGCTCCCAACACTCACCCGACACTCGCTCACTCATCACTCACGCTTTGCAGAACAGGGGTAGAACATACAAACTCCACATAGCAAGGCGCCCGAGTCGGGAAACGAACCCCAGACCATTCTTGTTGTGTCACCACCCTGCCGCCCTGGTTCACGGCTGCAAGCGTGCGGTTGAATGTACGGACTGTGATGTTTCAGATTCAAGTGGTGTTTTGTTGAACCACGACAGAACTCAAGAGTCCAGACTGAGTCACATTTGCAAGAGTAACCCGGGGCACGAGTCTGCCGGCAGTAGGCGATGGACTGATGCGTCTGGTCTCCCAGTTGAGTAATTGAATGTTAATTTTCTAATTTGGCAAATTTGTACCTTGACTGTTGAAATGCAAAATTGCAGTTGTCCGTACACAGGGGCAGGGAAATGTCAGCGGCCCTGAGCTAACGGTGGAAACTCCACATTCCTGCAGCAGACTCCGGCCAGCGCGTAAATCAACTATTGCTGACCTTCCCACAAATTGGTACTCGTTTTAGCAAACACTGGGGGGGGGGGGGTGGATGATGGGCCGTTGACCTACAGTCTGGGATGCGGACCTTGGGCATGTGCGTGGTTTTTTTTCTTTCTGGCGTCAGTCTCGGAAAGTAAGTAGTGGATTGGACCCCGTTTTAAAATCCTGCTAAGTGCTTATTATTTTAGGTCAATGCGCACGTTTTTATTGAGCGTCGTAAAAGCCGCGCGCATTACCGGTCGCGTGCCGCGTCGAACACGCGGCGCGCTCCAATATCACAAAAGAGTTACGAGACGCCCTTAGTGCAATGTCGAGTTCTACAAAGCAGCGGCGCTCTGTGCCACTCAACTCACAATTTATGACAAATGACACAGCCACGTACCCACCCGCGGAAACGCTCTCGAGTACCCACATCGAGGGAGTGCGCGTGGGCGCTGTTGGCACGCCGCTCCGGCAGCGGCGGCAGTGGTGGTGGCATCGGCGGCGGCGGTGGTAACAAGTAAATGCATTATTCAGTTGTTGAGGCAATTAGCCGGATCGGCGTGGAGACGGATGGCACACTCGGCGTGCCCCGTCCGCATCTCAATTAATCACGCGGGGGGGGCGACGCGAGGCACCGGCTCGGAGCCGCTGCCAGCGAGACGTTGGCGCGCGCGGTGGTGGCCGTGCCGGGGACTCGACAGCTGCGCGATTCGCCTGCAAATGAGGGCGCTGGGCTGACGCGCACGCGGCCACCTCGCCTCGTTCCCGCGTCTCGCCGGTGTCTCCCCGGCGTCTCTGAGCGTTTCGCGGCACGGCGCGGTGATGTGGCCCAGCGGTGGTGGCGCGATTGTTGCAGACGAGGTTTTTTTTTGCGGTTCGAGTCCATTGGCCGCCCGAGATAATAATAATAATGATGATGATAACACGCATCGCAGGTAAATGTGCGGCCGTGTAATTGTTTGCTCAGGTCATTGCTGTTGGAAGGAACAGCGGCTTTGCGGAGTGGGGTGGACAAAGCCGAGGAGGGGAAGGGGGCGGGAGATAATAAAAAAACGTGCCCGATGATATAGCTGCCGCGCCGGGAGAACGAACTTGCGACCTCTGGACTGTTTAGCGCATTGTGCTGACCATTGCATCACGGCAGCTTCTCTCACTCTTTAGTACAAAACGTCAAATTGATGTCGGCCTCAAATGAGTAAGGGATTGTGGTCGCCTCCTGTCTGCACCTCCTCATATAGCGGTGGAAATTCCACATTCCTATTAGTGGTCACATTACATCCATAGGACAAGCACTGGTGGCTTCGAACAACGTGAGACTCGTCTTTTTCAACCCCAGACGGTGAACAAACAAAGCCGTGATTATTATTAACTCCACTTAATTTAGCATCGTCACCCTATATCTGTGTAAAGTCTAAAAGTAAGCTTTAACTCGGATTTAAAAATAAACTTATGTTTGTGCAACATTTTCAATGTCTCGCATTGTACAGTTATTGTTTTGCGTAGTTTTTTTCCGTTCCGATTTCTGATTGCTTCATTGCTGTAACGTACTTTATTGTGTTTGTTTTTTCTGTCGATTTCGTGACCCAGGACACTCTTGCAAATGAGACTCCTCCATCCTCGTCTCTCTCGAGTTCCCCCACCACCTGCTTGCATAAAATCCACTTGAACCATGAACCCGAATTTCCATGGCAGGGTCGACGCACACGATCCCAATTTGAACGTAGAGCCAGATGGGTCATTGAGCCTCAGTTAGTAAAATTAAACTTTCTGCTTTCAATCGTACTGTACGTATGTTTGTATGTTGAACTTATTTCACACCGTACGTAGCCAACCGCGCTAATCGGAGGTGCGAGGGAAGAACAACCCGAACACAAAAAGCAGTTCTAAAAAAATACAATTTCAATCAACATTTAAAAGTGCATAGCTCCATTGGCTCCCTAATATCGGAAGGAAGCGCATCTGAAAGCGCGCGATGCGGTGACCACCGTCTTTGTCAAATGGCTCCCCAAAAGTCGCCGCTGCGCGGATGACCACCGGAGTTCGCGTGGTGATGGTTTGTGCTCCTTGACGAGATCAGGCGAGGTGGCACGAGCCGATCGCAAAACGATTTAGCCGCTAGATGCAGGCAACAGGACACCAGCAGCTCCATAACGAGCAGCCTGGGAGTGGGCAGCGTGAGAGTGGGCAGCCTGGGAGTGGGCAGCCTGGGAGTGGGGAGCCTGAAAGTGAGCAACCTGGGAGTGGGAAGCCTGGCAGTGGGCAGCCTGGGAGTGGGCGGCCTGGGAGTGGGCAGCCTGGCAGTGGGCAGCCTGGGAGTGGGCAGCCTGGCAGTGGGCAGCCTGGCAGTGGGCAGCCTGGGAGTGGGGAGCCTGGGAGTGGGCAGCCTGGGAGTGGGCAGCCTGGCAGTGGCAGCCTGGGAGTGGGCAGCCTGGCAGTGAGCAGCCTGGCAGCGGGCAGCCTGGGAGTGGGGAGCCTGGCAGTGGGCAGCCTGGGAGTGGGCAGCCTGGGAGTGGGGAGCCTGGGAGTGGGCAGCCTGGCAGTGAGCAGCGTGGCAGTGGGCAGCCTGGCAGTGGGTAGCCTGGCAGTGGGCAGCCTGGGAGTGGGCAGCCTGGCAGTGGGCAGCGTGAGAGTGGGCAGCCTGGCAGTGGGCAGCCTCGGAGTGGACAGCCTGGGAGTGGGCAGCCTGGCAGTGGGCAGCCTGAGAGTGGGCAGCCTGAGAGTGGGGAGCCTGAGAGTGGGGAGCCTGGGAGTGGGGAGCCTGGGAATGGGGAGCCTGGCAGTGGGCAGCCTGGCAGTGGGGAGCCTGGGAGAGGGCAGCCTGGGAGTGGGCAGCCTGGGAGTGGGGAGCCTGGGAGAGGGCAGCCTGAGAGTGGGCAGCGTGAGAGTGGGCAGCCTGGCAGTGGGCAGCCTGGCAGTGGGCAGCCTGGCAGTGGGCAGCCTGAGAGTGGGCAGCCTGAGAGTGGGGAGCCTGGGAGTGGGGAGCCTGGGAGTGGGCAGCCTGGGAGTGGGCAGCGTGAGAGTGGGGAGCCTGAGAGTGGGGAGCCTGGGAGTGGGGCGCCTGGGAGTGGAGAGCCTGGGAGTGGGCAGCGTGAGAGTGGGCAGCCTGGCAGTGGGCAGCCTGAGAGTGGGGAGCCTGGGAGTGGGCAGCCTGAGAGTGGGGAGCCTGGGAGAGGGCAGCCTGAGAGTGGGGAGCCTGAGAGTGGGGATCCTGGGAGTGGGCAGCCTGGGAGTGGGCAGCGTGAGAGTGGCGAGCCTGGCAGTGGGCAGCCTGGCAGTGGGCAGCCTGAGAGTGGGGAGCCTGGGAGTGGGGAGCCTGGGAGTGGGGAGCCTGGGAGAGGGCAGCCTGGGAGTGGGCAGCCTGGCAGTGGGCAGCCTGAGAGTGGGGAGCCTGGCAGTGGGCAGCCTGGGAGTGGGCAGCCTGAGAGTGGGGAGCCTGAGAGTGGGGAGCCTGGGAGAGGGCAGCCTGGGAGTGGGAAGCCTGGGAGTGGGGAGCCTGGCAGTGGGCAGCCTGGGAGTGGGGAGCCTGGGAGTGGGCAGCGTGAGAGTGGGGAGCCTGAGAGTGGGGAGCCTGGGAGTGGGCAGCCTGGCAGTGGGCAGCCTGGCAGTGGGCAGCCTGAGAGTGGGCAGCCTGAGAGTGGGGAGCCTGAGAGTGGGGAGCCTGGGAGTGGGGAGCCTGGGAGTGGGGAGCCTGGGAGTGGGGAGCCTGGCAGTGGGCACCGTGAGAGTGGGCAGCCTGAGAGTGGGGAGCCTGAGAGTGGGGAGCCTGAGAGTGGGGAGCCTGGGAGTGGGGAGCCTGGGAGTGGGCAGCCTGAGAGTGGGGAGCCTGAGAGTGGGGAGCCTGGGAGAGAGCAGCCTGGGAGTGGGCAGCCTGAGAGTGGGGAGCCTGAGAGTGGGGAGCCTGGGAGTGGACAGCCTGGGAGTGGGGAGCCTGAGAGTGGGGAGCCTGGCAGTGG